CAGTGGGAGGCAAGTGGGTGTACTCAATCAAGGAGGGTATTGAAGGGCACGACAGATACAAGGCCAGGTTTGTAGCTAAAGGCTACAGTCAGAGGGAAGGAATAGACTACGGTGAGACATTCTCCCCTACAGCTAATCTGACCAGTGTACGGGTAGTTATGCAGAAGGCAGCCGAAGAGGACTTGATTTTACACCAGATGGATGTGAAGACAGCCTACCTGCACGCACCCATTGATAGGGACATATATATGGAACAACCTGAAGGTTACGAGAAGAAAGGAGAGAAGATAGTGTGCAAGCTAGAAAAATCCATTTACGGCCTGAAACAGTCTGGGCGAAATTGGAACGAGATGCTTCATGCATGTCTAATTGAAGACCACTTCATACAGAACCCAGTAGACCCCTGTGTTTACACAAAGGAGTCAAAAGAGTCAGGAAAAGTGATAATTGTGATTTGGGTGGATGATTTGATCATCGCAGCAGACAACACTAGAAACCTAGAGCAGGTGAAAGGTATGCTCTCCACCAGATTCAAGATGAAGGACCTGGGCAGGTTAAAACATTTTCTAGGCATGGACTTCGAACAGTCTGCCAGTTGTGTAAAAATATCCCAGAAGAGATATGTGGAAAAGATCCTGAATCGTTTTGACATGCAGGAGTGTAGAACTAGGGAAACACCATGTGATCAAAAGCTAGACTACAATGAGGATGCACAAAAATTGACGGATGTAAAAATGTATAGAGAAGCTGTGGCAGCCTCATTTATTTGACAACATGTACTCGCCCTGACCTATGTTTTGTCGTGAGTAAGTTATCACAGCATTTTGCTGATCTCACAGAAGAGCACTGGATTACAGCAAAACATGTTTTCCGTTATCTTAAAGGTACAGCAGATAAACAGCTTTGTTACAGGAAGAGCAGCGAGGGCTTAGGGCTTCAAGCCTATAGTGACGCAGATTGGGCGGCAGACGCCACAGACAGGAGAAGTACCACAGGGTATTGTGTGAGTATGGGTACAGACAGCTCACTGGTTTCATGGAAAACAAAGAAACAGCCCACAGTGGCACTATCAACTTGTGAAGCCGAATATATGGCTCTAGCCTTGACAATACAGGAATGTATTTATCTGGAACAACTGCTCGAAGGAATGGATACCTATGTATATAAGAAAACTGTTGTTTATGAAGACAACCAGGGAACCATTGCACTTGCCAGAAACCCTGTGTGCCGACAGAGATGTAAACATGTGGATATAAAATATCACTTCATTAGATCTGTCATCAGAGAAGAAAAGATGACACTGGTTTACTGTCCCACATATGACATGGTTGCAGATGCTATGACCAAGCCTGTCTCCAAACTGAAATTGAAAAAATTTGCAGGGGTCATGTTCGGTGTGTAAAATATTGCCTATAGCTTGGTTTCACGTGACGTCACACCGTTGCGTTCCTTTGGCGCGAAATTCCATTGGAGGTCAGGAAGTAATTTTCTACAGAGGATCTAGCTGCTGTTACCATTGTGAAAATGCCGGTGTGTTGTGTAGTTTACGGTTGTTCCAATCGATCCGGCCGAGAGAAAAACAAGAGGTTTTACCGAGTGCCGAAGGTTGTCGTCCATAAAGCTGAGCAATTTAAGAAGCTAACCGAAGAACGCCGGAAAAAATGGCTTTCAAACCTACATCTGCGGTCGGGAGGAGCAGAGTCGTCTAATGCACGGGTCTGCAGCGACCACTTCATCAGAGGTATTAGCCAGGGTTGCCAACTCTCACGCATCTGGCGTGTGACACACGCTTTCAATCTCACGCTCTCACGCTGCCCAAACTATTCTCACGCCAAAAACAAGAATACCGAAGACTAGAAACGGTTTTGAAAACGTTTGTCACGTAGTGATCGTCTTCTTAATAGAACATCTTTGATAATGTCTTCTGGCCAATCAGAATCACGATAACGGCGTGGTGTTGTTGCAGGAAGTCCCGACGGAGAATACTTTTGCTGTAGTAAATCTCTATACATCGATACAACATTACGTGTTGATAGAAATCAACACGTAATGAAATAAGACCCCACGGTTTGATGATTGATAGGTGTGTGGGCTGTCTTTCATTTTGACACACAGAACAATGGGGGCTATCCACCCTTATCCACAATGTAAAGTAATTGACACAGCCTCTTCCCTCTTCTCTCTGTGAGGAGCAGCAGGTTCAGCTTTCAGAACAAAGTAACGAAAAACTAAAATGGCATTCATTTTTTTAAATATGTCGTGTAGTAATAGATTTATTTATTTTTCTTCTCAAGAGAGTACCAGAATGTGTATTTTATGTTAGTATTTCAAAAAATCTCCTCGGGGACAATCCCCCCAGACCCCCCTGCAGGGGTTGGGTTTTCAGCATGTCAACTCTTTCACCTGTGGGGAAATTGCAGGATTGGCTCCAGGTCGCTCTTTTTATTTACTATAAGACAAATGTGCCTTTTTATTTCATACAGTTCAATTTGGATTGAGACAGGGAAATAATCTAAACCTCACGCGTGGCGTTTCACTGTCAAGGGGAGCGTGTATGTAATTACATTGCAAATACTGACTTGAGCCCCACCACTGTATGGGTTAGCCCTACCATGGAAAACCCAACAAAAATACTACCGACCCGTATTGCGCATGCGCAAATCTAAGATCCAGTAGAAATAATAAAAAGCAAAAGTCTGCTGCTTATTGTTCTACTATAGGCCAAAATAGAGTCAAAGAGAGTATGAGAGTGAGAGTGTGTTAATTAATATATTTGGCAGTTTGGAGTAAGTCTGTAGATTTGTGTGTGTGTGTGTGTTTCATGTATAGACCTCTCACGATAATTAATTTAGTTGGATACATTTTCCCGGAAATTATTGCGATAAACGATAATATTGTCAGCACCGTTGTATGACCATTTTAGACCACTGACATAATGATAATATATAACAGTAATTCAAGTACATCCTTTCAAACTGCTAGTCACATCCTCATGTAAATGGCAATTTATCGAGTTAATTTTTATTTATCGTACGATAAGTCAATTAATTACTTATCGCGACAGGCCTATGCACACAATAAAACAGTGGAAACAAACATGTGTTTGACTTTCATTACTGAATGAAACTGTGTGCCCTTTATAGTCTGTGTCCAATATTGTGTATTTGTATATATTGTATATATATCCTATATATATGCTAAGGTCCCGCTGCTGACACGATAGCAGTGATTTTGTGCGCATATGTGTAATCAAACCCATGATACCAAAATCTCACTCCAGCCAGGTACCCAAAGTTGGCAACCCTGTATTAGCTAACTTGGTTTTTGTGGCTTTGTTTAGGTATTATTGGGTTGTGGTTAAATGCGTATTTACTTAGTAATACTGATCATGTTTAAGTTACCTGTAGTCTAATATGGACTTTGTTGGGACTTTTTAGGGTGCCCTAGCGCTTTGGGTGACGTTGAGTCGGTAGACTGGGCTCCCACTGTTAGCCTCGGTTACCACACAACAAATAAGCCCAGATCAGAGGCATCTCTTCGACGAGAGCAGAGGATGGAGCTCAAGGAAGACCAACAAAGACAATCAGAATGTGCAGAGGCTTTGTTGGATCTCCTGCAGACAACCGAGAGCCCAGAAACGACGCAGCCCCCGCCTGACAGCCCACAACCAGAGGACACCAGTGGGATATTAAATGACCAACAAGGTAAATTAACCACCAGCATTATTATTAAATATTACAAATGTGATTGTCAGAAAATCAATGCAAACTTTGAATTAGGTTTAGAAAATAGAGTACTAATTTGAGAATCTGCAATAATTGGAACAGAGAACTTGCATGTCTGTAAAAAGGTTGTCAAAAAGATAACTTCACAAAAATTCACATTCATATTTGACTATTTTAAATAACTAATTATGCTTGCTACTGCTATATTGTATGCAGATGCAGGATGCCAGACTGATTTAACGATGGAGGACATCGAGAGGATGGAGGATGTTCTGAGACAGAACACAACAGAGCTGGGAGATCTTCGGACAAAGGCACTGGACACAAAGTTCAACCAGGAGTCCTTTGAGAACAACAAAGAGAAAACAAAGTTTTACACCGGGCTCCCCAACTTCTTAGTTTTACTTCAGGTTTTTCAACTGTGCGAGCCCAACATCACCTGTGGCCCTATGTCTGTGCTCTCCAAATTTGAACAGTTCATTTTAGTTTTGCTGAGGCTGAGACTAAATCTCCCTCTGAAAGATTTGGCTTTCAGGTTCAACATCTCTCTCTCCACTGCTTCTAGAATTTGGCATAAGTTAATTGACATACTTCACGAGAGTACAGAATTTATAATTGAGTGGCCAGAGCGACATGTACTTCAAGCTACAATGCCAATGGGATTCAGACAGGCATTTGGATGTAGAGTTGCTGTGATTGTTGACTGTTTTGAAGTTTTTATTGAGAGGCCCTCTAATTTACTAGCTAGAGCACAAACATGGTCCAACTACAAGCATCACCATACTGTTAAATTTCTGATTGGTGTTGCTCCCCAAGGCTATGTTACCTACATATCTTGTGCCTGGGGAGGAAGAGTTAGTGATAAACAGATCACAATACAGAGTGGGCTCCTAAAAAACCTGTTACCTGGAGATATTGTCCTAGCAGACCGTGGGTTCGATATTGCCGATAGTGTGGGATTTTACTGTGCTTCACTAAAGATGCCTGCATTCACCAGGGGGAAAAGTCAGCTGTCAGCATACGAGGTGGAAGAGACAAGAAAAATAGCTAATGTGCGTATTCATGTCGAAAGAGTCATAGGATTAGTCAGAAGAAAATATCAGATTCTGCAAAGCAGGGCTGTGCCCATAGAGCACATGCTAACAAAACCAGGTGAGGCACTAGCATTAATTGACAAGATTGGGGTTATTTGCTGTGCCTTGTCTAATCTGTCAGTGTCTGTCGTCCCATTGGAGTAAAGTCATGGAGCTGTAGTCTTGTAAATAAGAAACCATGTATTATTCAGTATCATTTAATCTTTTCAGTAAACATCTTTTTGTGTTCAAACATCTTGTGTTCAAGTCTTTTCAGTAAACATCTTTTTGTGTTGAAAATTGTGTAGCCCTACTCAATATACAACTTTCATCTACATTCAGGCTTAATTCATTCAACAATATTCTAGAGATGACAATTGGTCTGGTGACGCTCCCATGTATGGCCATTGAGGGTTATTGTAAATGTAAATAAGAAACCATGTATTATTCAGTCTTAGTATCATTTAATCTTTTCAGTAAACATCTTTTTTACAATAGCAATATATCACACAGCCCTACTTCCTCTAGTGAGTGTGGTCAGTGAATATGAAGGTGCTGTAATGCAGGTTAAAGAGCTGCCACTGTGCAAATGTTACGTTCCCTTGTAAATATAGGGGTACAAAGGGAAGTAGCGACACACAACATAACCGGCCGAGAGAAAAAGGAGAGGAAACTGATCTCTGACGCCATAAAGTGGTCTTTTAATTAACACAACGAAAAAGGGCTCACCAGCCAACTTGTCAAACAAAGCTTAAGATAAGGGGAGAGCGACTGCAACCTTCCTCATGTCCTATATGGAGGCGCTGATTGGAGATTGGGAGCACCTGGGGAGATCAGAGGGAGAGAGAAAAAGACACCCAAACACCAGCACCCACTACGGCACGTAATAATAATGCAACAAGGAGAGAACCACAACTTCCGGGACCAGGACAGACCACAGGTGCTGGTAATCACGCCTTCTCTCCCTCCTGATCATCTTGCAACTGAAACTGAAAAATGGAACAGCAGACAGGGAGAGGAGGCTTTTAGTCACCTGATAGTTATGCACTAACATGTTCTTGTGGAAAAAAATGAGCACACCAACTCTTTATGACTTTTACCTTTCCCCTTGTAAGTTGCTGTCCCAACACTTCAGGGAGAACACATAGTCTGAAGAAACTCTCAACTCTGGGAATGCTGTTGTCCCACAGGTCCACATCACGCACAATTCTCTCTACAAAGAGGTCATTTTTAGTCCAGACAACAAAGTCGCAGTAGTCAACATCAACGAGGTGGAGCTGAGCCTGTATTTGATAGTAGTAGGCATGTCTCCTGTCCACAGTGCCCCCATCGTTGACGAGACAGAAGCCCTGTTCTCCAGCACACAGGCGAAGATTGGCCTCCTCTTGGGGAATTTCTGCTCAAAGTCTTGAAAAACTGCATATACCTCTCTGATCCTCGCTCCAATTTTGAACCCTGGACTGTGGGACGCTGAAATGTGTGCTTCTCACCTGTCCTTCCAGCAATGGCATCATCCAGTTTTTGCTTTTTGGATTTTGCGGATGAAAAGTCTATCATCGCAACTGGAGCAGCAGGAATCTGCACATGTGAGAGACAGACCAACATGTATGTGAACATACATGTAGGTGCAGTGTAACAATGAGACAGGCAAGGACGGCATGAACAGCTGACTGACCACTGGGGTCTGAATACCTTTTTGACATGTGATGGCATTAGCCACTTGCACTTCTCAGTGGTGCAGGATGCAGTCTCTCTCATCTTCACACCTGCTTCGATTGCAAACAGAACTGCTCCAACATGTGAGCAGGATTCTGACAAACTGTATAGACAGAGACATACTAGAATAACTAGATTGATCGTAAAAGCTAGTAATGGTATAACATGAATATTATAGCAGGCATTATTTTGTCTGAGCTTAAGTGTTGTGTCAAATATGCTTTGGGTTGGGATATTTATTTTATGACTTACCCAGCCATACAGTTACAGTGTGCTGTAACAACCTCTCCATCTTCTTTAGCTACAATCCACGTTTTTAGTGGTGTTTCTCCAGACCTCTGGGAATGGTTGACCTACACCAGGCATCCTCAAACTACGGACTCCGGTCCGGATCCGGACCGAACCACCACTGTCTCCGGACTCTGAGCAAATTATACTTTTCATATGTATTATCTCTCTGTATTATATGTGAGACATCGCCACAACGCATTCGCAACGAGTCAAAATTCTCCGCTATGTCCACTGCAAACAGCGCTCTGCATGTCTGACTGTTCCACTGTGTTCCACCTGTGTGTGTCAACGCTTTGGTCCAATCACATTCAGCATCCAGTCAGCGTTTTTTCCCCCCAAACAATCTGCGAATCAGAGGCACAGTAGGGCGGGTCTTCGCGGACTGCGGGTGGGAAAAATGTGTGTGTCTCTTTCAACCTGTCTAAGTCAGAGCGAGAATTTAAAAAAAAAATTCAGAGCGAGAGTTAACAGCTCATCTAGTTCCATCTGTACTGTAGCTAGTAGCCTAGTTTCACCTACCGGGGTGGCAACTGACACCCTAAAAATAGGCCTTGCCACCCCAGCTGCCACCCCAGTTGGCAGCTTTGTTTTGAAAGAAAAGTTGTCGCTCATCGGACATTTATGAGAGAAAGTCTCTAATGTCCGAGTGCAAGTGAATGCAGCACAAGATGCACGTCATGTAACCCCTCCCCCGGTCCTGGCGCGAGCGTGGACATATGATTGGCGGCGATTTCATTTTGAACTGGACGGCGCAAAACGAGAAGCATTCGGACCCAAGCGCTGAAGGAATGAGGTATTTGCGGTCTACAATGACAGAGAAGAGACTGTCAGTGTGGCTGTACTCAGCATTGCATCAAAACGCACTACAGCTGTTGATCTTAATACGTTTGTGAGGCGTTTTGCTGAACAAAATGGTAATCGCCGCATTCAGCTGTAATAGACATGCCAACTTGATGCTCTGCTCACGGATGAGCATACACAACTATTAAGATGATGACCTTACGTGTGTAAATATATTTTTTTCTTTGAGGGGGTCTGCCCCCAAAAAACTGTTTTAAGTCCTGAGAAAGTCAAATAAGACGGTGTGTAAAACTACACTGCCCAGCCAAAAAAAAGTAACCACTTTGATTGTACTAGGCCAGTAGGTAAGGACCTTCCACTGGATAATAACTGAAGTATAAAAGAATGCATGACTGAAGTGATGGAGACCATGTTGAAGGCAAACAAAAAGAGGAAATAACAGGCCAAATCAAGCAAATCCCCCTCTCAGATTCCACAGCAACCAGAAGAACAGAAATACTGGCTGGTGATTTGATTCATCAGCTTTGTGATGGAATAAAAAATGCACAGTGCATTTCCTTAGCTGTGGGTGAGTCCACTGACACCACTGACAATGCTCAGTTGCTGGTGTTTGTGAGTTGTTATGATGAGGCAAAGGGGGAGTTTGTTGAAGATATGTTGGGCCTGACGAACCTCAGTGGACGCACAAGGGGGAATACATTTATAAAGCAATAATGGGAATGCTGAATGAAAGAGGGTGCAGCTGCCTTTATTCATAACTGTGCAGCTCTTACACTGCGACTCTGAGGGGTCAAGCACAGACACAATAACAATGAAAACGGCTGCATACAAATTATTTTTGTTTTTGCAACCTCGTGTTAATAATCTTGTTGCAATTGTTTAAAAGTTTGAATGACCGTAATAAACGGACCTTTGTCTTATTGAAACATTTATTTTGGACCTTTAAGATTTGTATTTGAGTACCCCTGACCTACACAATTGAAGCTCCAGTTCACAACTTGCGAGTTGGTAACATACATTTAACAACATCACAAGCAACACATAACCAGATGGTCTTGGTAAAGAGGTTGTTTTTAATATTAACCTCAACATAGAGTGATATAAACAACGTGCAGGCTGTTCAAAGGCTCTGAGCTGTCTATACACACAAAACACAATATATCCTAAGCTAAACACATAACAAACATACACATATATACACACACAACACACTCACAGGCCAGTTAATGCTGAAGGCAAGGCGACAGCCGTAACACTGCCTTACATGAGTCCATGTAGCTAAAGTTAGCTAGCTAGATGTCTCCTAATAATGCTACTTAGAGGTAAGAAGGTATAGGTAGTTAACACTCACCCGGGCAAAAACAAGGCGACATTTGTTTAATGCCTCTTTGGTGCCGAGGTCATTCACCCATCCACACACGAAGTAGTTGAAAGCTTCCAGGCTTTTATACGCTTTCATCTGGCTAGCCGTGTAGTAGGAGGTATGAAGGACGAGGTAGCTGGTGATATCCATCGCCTCGACAGCGGGCAAATCGGATAAATCACGAGAAAAGTCGGTTTTTTTCAGCTGATACGGATCGTATCCGATGTGTGCTGTGATTTTTTCACGATATCTGTGGCGTGCAGGTTCATTTAATTGTTTGACATAGTCGGTGTCCTCCATGATTCCTGCGTTGATGAATGATTGCGTTTTCACTTCCTGACCTCCACTTGAATTTCGCGCGTCATAGAAGTCACGTGACTGAAACCAAGCTATTATGTAATATTGACTGCCATGTTCTTTTGATGTTTTGAACTGTTATTTTTCTTGGAAAAGTTGTACAGTATACATGTCATTCAGTGGGAGTGTTAAGTGTAAGTATTAATATGTCTGCATGTAACTGCACTATAACTGTTCCACATTAAGAGGGCGCTATAGGCGTAAGGAGGCGCAGCTATTGTAGCTGACGTCAGGTATCAGATATAAGGGATTGTTCCCTCCCCTTCTATCTCTCTTTCTCTAGCTCTCATGGAGAGCAGGTCAAGTGGTGCAATGCACATATGAAAATAAACCACGACAGTTAAGGCTAAAGAAGACCTCGTCGTCATGACCAGTTTATTGCTATACATGTGACTCTGTCAACAGATGACTTTCAAAGAGAAAAGCAAGAGCACTCGGAATTAAGTATTATTTTTAAATGTTTTCCGGATTTCATGTAATATAAACACCAGATCCCAGCATGCATTGCGGCTAACACATCCAATCAGCGACCTTAAACCATAGCTGAGGATCTTGGGTAATCGCTCGAAATGCCTACATCTGTTTCCGGTTAATTTTATTTTGAAATTCAGTTCCTGACGGATGCCAAAAAATCCCGAGATTATGGAATTAAACCAATAAATAAAAGCAAGGATAATTGTGTGTTATTATTGGTGAGTAAATAACAGTGTGTTATTTTGAAAAGAATAACAAATTAGAAGGAAAAAAAGATTTAAAAAATACATATTTCAGTATCCTGAGGCTCTGAGCCCCATTTATTTTCCTCACAGACGGCAACAAAAGTCCGAAATTATACGATTTAAAATAAAAGCAACAATTGTGGCTTGATATTGAGTAAGGACATGTTTTTATGAACCACACAGCTTCCGGTCTTCCACGACCGACCGGAGAAAAAGACGTGCTGCAGGCACGAAACACATTACCAGTAGAAATACATTGCTTTTAAAATCGTGCTGTTCAACACGAAAAAAAGGGGGAAATCGTGTTGGTGAACACGAATCAATAGATTAAAAATCGTGTTGGTGAACACGAAATGCCATGAGACTGGGTTGTTCAGTGACATTATTCTCTGGTGTTTTTGCACGTTTGTAAAAAGAAATTGCAACGAGTTGTAAAGGAGCCATCTGTGTTCATTTTTGGATTCACTCTTCAGCTTGGCTTAGTGCTAATTCTCAACTGTTAGCATGCTAACATGCTAAACTAGGTGGTCAACATTGTAAATCTTCTGAATATTAACATGATAGCAATGCCTTTACGTTATCAATTAGCTAAAAGCAGAGCTGTACAGGTCTACTGCCACTTAGCTTTTGTTCAATGCTTTTGTAGACTACTGAGAGGAAGCCTATATTAAAGAAGAGCTGCACATATGCTACTGAGCTCAGATCGGCAGTACATATTCACTCTAGAGATAATCACTCTGATGATCCTCTTCAGGAGACTGTGGTGTGCTGTCAGTGCTCTAAAGGTGAATTCATTAAAAGCGATTCTCAAAATGCTCTGAAGTTAGGAAAGTAGGCCTTTTGAAGCTAATGGTTTGTAAAGTGGCACTTTGAAAACATTGTGACAGCAGACTGTGAGGTCGCTAACATAGATATGAAGGTTTTTTTCGGAGGCAAAACTAAAGACATCGGTGGTCACAAACATGCATCCTTTTAATATTCAAGTCTGCACTGGTGGGAAGTTAATTATATATTTTAAGCTTTGAGCCAAATCCACCAGAAACGTGATGCAATACCTGCTAGCAGTAGCCATCTTGCTATTGTGTGGCCTGTTTGTTTAATCCATCTTCTATGTCTGTCAGAAAAGTGGGCAATTTGCAAGCAGCAAGTGCTCTTGCTATAAAATGTTGAAGTAGGGTTGGCTCATTCCTACATTGCATCCCCACCTTTTCCTCCTTCTCTCCCACTTTTGGTTGTTTGAAGTGGCAGTTGGAGAGCTGTAACAGGAGTATCATTCACTGTAATGGTGGAGCGTCCTCCTCCACAGCCCTCACTTAGATCACTTAATCCACTTCAACAGTCCAGCGCTGTGCTCTGTGTGAACACATCACATTCACAATAGGAGGTTAGACAAAGACTTGCGCTGACCTGTCAGCTTGCACTAAAATTCCACACTGAACACTTGAAACCCTTGTTCCCCAGCTCACTCAACATGGATGTGAAGGCCTGCCACACTGCTATGAGTCAAAATGTAGAACTTTTTTGGCAAAAAAGTTGATCACACTATGCTTTATAGAGCACAAAGAACATGTGATAATTCTTGTTATATTAGTGTTTTTCATTCAAACACTAGTTACTGTATGCAGTCATTTTTTAACACAGTCTGTGTAGACAAAATAAAAGATGAAAGCTTGAAACTGTAAAGACATTGGAATAAACTCACTAGCAGATTCAATGTGAAACTTCACATTAAGCATCATCTTTCCTCTCAAGAAGATTCAGAGGCTGGTTTGTAATTTCAAAAAATGTGGTAAAAAACAGTGCTGCAGGTTTCTTCGTTCAAGGGCAGAAAGCTATAACCTATTGCAGAATTACAAGTGTTCTGCAGCGGACAGCAGACTGCAGCCAGTGTAATTGTGTGGTAGTTGTATTAGATTGCCAATTAAGCCTTTATAATATTGCCCTGGGCACGCACAGAAAAGAGACAGGTTGTTATTTATCCATTAACATGTTGCCATACACACTTGTGAGTTGGGGATTGAAATGCAGCGACTTGGGAACAAGTCAAGTGTTTTTTCTAGGGCCGGGACTTTAACGCGTTAATTAAGATTAATTAATTACACAAAAATTAACGCGTTAAAAAAATTAACGCATTTTAATCGCACTTATTTTTGCACCGCGGAACGTTTCTCACTGGATGAGTTTCAGGCGTACCGATTATACTGGAGCACCAACTAACGTTCATGACTTCAGACAACAACAAACCACAGTGAACAACAGTGGGAAATGTTGTTTTAAAAAACGGACGGATGGAAGCGTCGATAAGAGCACGGTTGTGTGCAAATTATGCAAAAAGGAATTCGCATATCACCGCAGCACATCAAGCCTCAAGTATCACCTCAATGCAAAACATATAGCAGCTAGCGTGGAAGCTAGCCTCTTTTATCGCGTTCACACCAAAAAGAGCCGGTACTAAAATTAGTTAATGAGAACCTTTTTACCCACACGAAAGTCCCTGCTAGAGAGCAGAGAGCTGCTAGAGAGCAGGGACTTTCGTACGGCTCTCTTGTGAGAAAATAGCTATATTTCTGATTGGCTGGGCGGATTGCAAACCACGCCCCGTAAAACTCCCAAAAAGTTTTGTGAAGCCGCCATTTTATTATCCTCCCATTAGCATTATTAGCATTAGCCCAGCGCAGAAACGCAGAGAGACTAACTTATGGCAACACTAAATAAAACATGGGAGCGGTGGAGATGAGGAGGTGTCGGCGTTCTGGCGATTTACTCGGAAGGCTTCAGTAGAAGCTGCTGGGACTCCCAGCAGCTTCTACTGAAGCCAGTCCCTAACTCCGGGGACTTCCGGCCGGGGACTTTGGGCGGCAGTATACGCCGTGAAGTGGTTTGCGGCCTGCCAGTAAACCCAAAGCAGAAGAAGAAGAAGTGACGTCAGCGGCATGAACTAAATTCTCATGAACCTTTGTGGGAAAAGTATTGTGGTGTGAATGCGCCGAATGGTATACTAAAATCCATGTGAAAAAAATTGCTTCTCACTGTTCTTAGGTCAAATATTTATATGTGATTAAAAATGTGATTAAAAATGTGTTTAATTTCGATTAATTAATTACAAAGCCTCTAATTAATTAGATTAATTTTTTTAATCGAGTCCCGGCCCTAGTTTTTTCATGAAAATGGAATACCTGTTTGCAGGAGGGAAAGGTTCTGCTGTCAGTCACTGTGGGTTAACCCTGGGTCACGTCTTTCACACCTGCAGTCCATGTTTCACATGAGCTACATACTGGGACCTATGATCAAATAACATGTTCAATTAGCCCCACACAATCTGCAACATTTTAGGGCTTCGTTAAATACTCGATTCTGATGATTATCTCTTCAAATCCGCCATGCTTTTACTTTTGGAGCCAATGCTTTCCTACTTTTTGTAGTTTTGAATTCTGAATAAGTTATGATATGACTTGAGAGTATCTATACCCTGTATTGCTTATAACAAAGATACAAATATTTGAGTCCTTTTTTCACCACTGAACCGTTCTTTAACAATTCAACAAAGAGTCCTAGTTGCAGAACTTCTCAGAAAGTCTCAGACAAAATACTCCACATATTCATTTAATAAGATCAACCACAGACTAGAAAAGAGAGCAAAGGCATTTTGTTTTGAAGAGGAAAGAAAGACTCAACTAGCAGCAGTTGTTTTCCACTGTGTTGAATTATAACATGGTACAGTTTATCTATAACAGTGAGTCTAAGTGCTCGACACATCATTATGTACGTAGCAATAATTTCTTTATCAGGTCATGTTATCCAGCTGACTGGACATTAGTCTAGGTAGCGCCAAAGTGTATTTTATATTTTGTTCAGTATTATTGAGAAAGTAGGTTGCACAGTAGCTATTCAAGGTACAGGTGTTAAGACTTTTTGCCGCTGAGCAGTCATTGACAACAGGGGGAACAAATCATATTTTTAATTTGAAAACAAAGCTGACTGCAACAAACACAGATATTCTTCAGATTCAGAAAGCACATAAGGCAAACACTGAAAAAAACAATATCAACATCCAGTCCTTCAGAATGTACAGTGTCACTGGGTGTGTATGATAAAGAAATTACAAAAATATCAGAACAGTGTAATATCTTACATATGGTCCCGTCTTTATCACACATATTACACTTTTTCTGTGGTTTCTGCAAAATGTCCCTTTCACACCAGTGCAGTTGTATCAGTAGTTTCTTTAATGTGATTAGAGATCTGTCAAAGTCAGAGCCACAGCCTTTTTTGTATATTGTAAGAAATGGTTATCTTTTAGGAGAAAAAACATTTGTAGTAAATACTGCATGACAGACCCAGGCTGACACAAACTCACCTTTTTCCAATTGTATGTCTATATATCACTGTTAAGACCTTACAGTAAAGTAATCACAATCAGGTATTAAGGTGGCAGGAATATTATTGTATGAGCACGGCACTGTTCAGTTTGAGAAGGTTATCAGAGGGATAAACTATTAAACAAATTAAAATGTGTCAATGTAATACTTTATGTGGCAGTCAGTACTGTACAACAGAAAGATAAAGCTATGAAATGCATTTCCTGTGATTACAGTACAACGCAAGTGATATCTTATACAGTGATCAGCCTATCAATGTTTCCTCATAGGCTTTGTATTTGTATTTCTGTATCTTGTCTTGGATTAATGTCATTCAAGCTTGGGGTTGAAGCTATGCTGCAGTAACGAAATAACACCAAGAACAAAGTGTGGAAGCAAAAAGGCAAAAAATACAGTGAGGAAGAAAGCAATGTCAAAAAGCTTCTAGTTAATGGCTTAAAACAATCAGTCTGAAACAGCAGTAGCCATGAATAATGTATTTCACGTGCATGTGTTTGGCAAAACAGGAGACACAAAGAGGAGTTTGGTCCTGATTAATTCAGTGGAAAACAGACAATAATACAAATCGTACTGGATAATATGTGTTATTGTTTGGGTTCATTTTCTAATGCTATTTTTTTCAAAAAATGAATCTTTAAAAGTGACACTCAAAAACAGTGTTTTAAAAAAAAACACTCCTACAGCAGAGTCCATCAAGTGTCATCTCTGTGCAGTCGAACACTCAGCAGGACAAAATGGTTTCAGAAGCGCAGCAGCATAAAGGCACTGTGTTATTTCTACAAGCCAAGATAAGTAAATCCAAGAGAAACCACAACTGTATCGCTGACCACAAGAGTCCAAAGGTCCAAACAAAAAGGAGTCCAGGCAGGAAAAGCAGGACCGGTTGACCTCCCAACATCAATCACACAGTTTCTCTGAAATCTGTCACACAGACTTCGGTTAGCCTCTAGAAGAGTCTGAACTGAGGCCGCAGAACCAAGGGCAAAGGTCAGCAGTGAGGGCACCGAGGGCAATCTTGTTAGTTTGTTTGTTCAATGCCGACAAAACACACAAACACACACATACACACACACACACACACATTCACAAAGAGACTGAGCTCCCACATAACTCAAAATTGTATGAGAAAATACATTTAAAAAAGGAATTATGAACACAGTAGGAAGAAAATAAATATCAAAGGTAGACCAAGCTGCATTTTGAAGGAATAGTTTGAACATTTGGGGAAATGTGCAGATAGTAAGAGGAGAGGATTGACACAACTGTCTTCTGTTAAATATAGAGGTACATTCAGCAGCCTATCTTAGCGTCAACATCTGGAAACAAGGGGAAGCAGCTTGCCTGGCTTAGCCAAAGATAAAAACTTTAAAATAAATCAGCCTACCGGAGCCTCTACAGCTAACTAATTACCAGGTTGCATCTCAATTGGTTAATCACTATGTTCAGTAAGTGGAATGCCGATTTTACTGATTTAGGCAAGAGCAAAAAGTGTCTTATTATAAAAAAAAGGCTAATTTGGTTTGAGGTTTTAAATGACTTGAAGGCAAAAAAAACATGAGACAGAACAAAAGTATAATAAATAGAGAATACTGCATTTCGAGATCACATTAATATAACTGTGTAGTTCAATCAAACCACTAAACCTTTTATTTATGCAACTATCCACATGTAGTGAATACGTGTTGAATGTGTTTAGTGCATCTACAGAAAAGATCACATACGCAGTGGGGGCAGTATATCAGGATTTGAAATGAGGTTGGCAGCAGCCACTGAACAGATGACAATGGCATTACGTTTTGAGGAGAAAACATCTTCTTTAATATAACTGTTAATCTTATAGTTATCCTCTCAATTGTTGCTCTTATTTTTTAGCCTTTACAAAGTACGAAGGAAAGCATGTGAACAACGGCGATCATGCTTTAGCTGCTAGTAATGTATTGGTTAAAAAAAAGTGTAAAGGAATGTTATCGAACCAACAACAGCATTGTCTCCAGATTCAGTGCACATGGACATTCACTCATCCTCACAACAACAACAAGCCAATCCTCTAGAGAAAAAAACGAAATCTCTGTGCTTGGTTCTGCTTGTTTGATTTGATCAACGGCGAGCTAAAAGGTCAAAAAGGTCACTGTCCAGAAAAGTCTGTTTGGTTAGCTCCATTCAAATCCGTTTTATATACATTACAAATTGTACATAGTCGTTGGAGACACGGCGGATGGCCTGGCCCTTCTAGTAGTTGACCTCGTAGACCGTCGCTTTCTTATCTCCTGAGCCCGTCACAATGTACTTATCATCGATGGAGATGTCACAGCTCAGCACTGAGGACGACTCCTTTGACTGTAAGGGGAATAAAAGATGTGTGAAAAGTGCACTTAAGGCGGAAAAAGCCAAGAGGGATGAAGGCTAAGTGTGTGGGAGATAGATATTAGGCAGAATATTTATTTTCAGTCCAGTCCATAATAAATGTAAAGTGCAGTGGCAGCTCCCAGTGCAACATCTTTTAAAGATCCCGATGAAGGTTTCTTCTTCAAATGTTTGTGTCCTTGATATGCAGTAACTTTTAGTTTTTAAGATTCCGGAATATTCTGTATTCAGCACCTCCACTTGTGTGTTAGCGCTGAATGGTTTTTGACTGCATGCTCAAAGACATTTCCTTTAATTCTTTCAAATCTTTGAATGGACATTTCTGGCACTAGGATTGGGCAAATATATTCCACTTTGTTGTAAATGTACACCAATTAAGTATAGCAGTATTAGAAAAAGCTGCCTGCATGTTCTTGTTCTTTACACTTACCTGGAAAATGCTGGCTCCATACGGAGTTCTCCATGCATTGAGCAGATTGTCTTTTCCTGTGCTCACAAACCACTTCCCTGCAAAGGATGATAAACTGCATTAGGCCACAATCAAGAAAAAAACATAAATGTATTATGTTGAAATGTATGAAGCAATAAAGCTAAAGTAACTCAGTCACATGTTGAGATATTTAGGTGAGAGTTAAACATTTTATTGAGAAAATGGTTGCAAACTGTTTTGAAGAATATAAGACTTTTCTAAAATGAAAGAAAATTGAGGACACCAGCTTTTCATTCTAACCACAAGAGGGAACATTGATACAGAATTAGTGGGACCAATATAATACCAGCATAATGCTCAAATACTGACAGTATGGAGGGCATTTCTGTGTACTTTATACCTTTTTACTGACCAAGCTTAATAAACTCTCAAACTATTATAATGTTGAGATATTTTTAAATATAAGTACAATCCTATATTAGATTTTAACAATACTGTACTGACAGACCAACTGGTGGCTTCAACACAAGTCAGGTTTGTCGTAATCAACATTTGCAGAGATTGTCCTATTTATCAATTCAACCATTAATTGATGACAATGTTATAATGGTGGAGCAATCTATTCAAATCTCATCTTTTGGTTCCTGCAGATCATTCATACTGGTTCTCCATGCTAACATGTGTTAACTCATTTGAGCTTTTCTTAATTTCCAGTATATTACAAATAGTTTGTTAGGATTTTATGTTTTACGTCCCAAGAGGATTTGTCCTCTTAACTTATACTGCAGCAGTATAAACCAGCTATAGACTGTAATTTCTTATGAAACATACAGTGTCTCTCAACATAGTAAATATTTTTGTGACAGTTCTTCACAATTCACACAGAATTTGATCAAAAAGCCAAATCACCCAAAGATTTAGTAGATGCATACAGTATTTGTTTTTTTCTTTAAGACTTTATCTAAAACATTGATAGAATTAGGAACCTGTTTAAAGTGGTAAGGATTCTTACCACAGTGAGCAAATCTGAGTGAGAGCACGCAGCTCTCATGCAGGTGGAGCTGGTACTTGTCAGGTTTGGTGACATGTAGGACCTCCACATTGTTGTTCTCCATCCCCACTGCCAGCCACTCGCCCGTTGGACAGTATCCCAGTGAAAATATCTGCAATAAAACAAGTTATTAAATCGTATTTATCATACGCTTTATGTTATATAACTCCTCTCTTATATTATTCTACTGTGTTTTTTTAGCAGATGAATATTTGTCAGCGTGGGTGGCAACTAACATAAACATATCTATTGATGCTGGCAAATCCCCTGTTCAACACATTCATAAGCATTTCATGCTTATCTGTTAACGCGCATGACTGTTTCAGCTCATAAAATCATATTGAGTAAGTGATGTCCTGCTGGCAGAAATTATCAATCATAAAGGTGGGTAAATTAATTCAAATGTGTTGCCACAAATCACAGCAATATTTGTCCAGATCATTAAGACACCTGATGGCTCAATAAACCTTGTAAACACAATTGTATTTGTTGTCTTTGCCAACGCATCGGTGTTTAACTTGCTGAAGCTGTTTTTAAGGGGGTGGAGGGGTTAGTACAGATATTATAGGATGGCATTAGCACTTTATTGGTCATGTCTCTCCTTGTCTGGCCTGCCCTCTCTGAGCTCTCTTTAATGCACACTTGTCTCCTCCTGAGCACACTGAGAATGCCAAATTGGTCTTTTCAGGGAAGTTGCAGTAATGGTCTATTATTGCTGCTTTTCTTCTCACCTGACAAAACCCTAAATTCTTACCACCTAACTTAACATTAGTGTTAAAGGCATTTGAGCACAGAAACCCTGAGCTCGGTCTAGCCTTTATAGCAGGTTAAATGTTCTGAACTGAGCTTGTTAATTACTGCAATAAATCATCACAGACACTGCAGATGGCAATGAGCTGTCCTGAGATGCACGATTTTCAACAATCTGTGTATTTTACTTCAACCACCAAGCAAATCTGTATGCATTTTATACCTGGAAACTAATTCCACTCTGCTGCTACACCAACACGTACGGACATTTAGCATGCATGCAGTGACACCAGTAGCCCGTCAGCTGGTGTAAGTGTTTGAGCTTGGTTAAGAACACAGAACGGGTGTTTGTGTACCTGGGAGGTGAAGTCGTGCTGCTGCAGCTGCCGTCCCTCTCTCAGGTCCCAGGAGCGCACGGTGTTATCCAGGCCTCCCGTCCACAGCTTTGTCCCATCATTAGAGATGTCTATACAGCTGGCCCCATCAGTGTGGCCCTGGAACTGCCTGCAGAAAAACACAAAGCCAGACAAACCCATGTAGTAGTGTTCATCGTAGCAAATTACACATGAACATTTGTATCTCTTCTTGGAGCTCTTAAGATAGTAACGTCTTTGTATGTATTCCTCAGGTTGTAAGATGTGTAGCTTAAGTTCTGTTGACATTAGCCCAGGCAGCAATGTAGGAAGACATGTCAGACATTCTTTGATGGGGCACTCTGGTGTCTACACTATCCAAATATAAGCCCATGAAATATATATATATTTACATTTTAAATAAAAATACATTATATCATTAAAAAGTCTGTTTGAATATTGATGCCATTGCCATTAAAAAAAATCACTTCTAATGACATTGTTTAAAAAAAAAATGTAATTATAATCAGCAGTGAGAGCTATCACTTGCACACACACAGAAACACACACACACACACACACACACACACACACACACACACACACAGAAACACACACACACACATCATAAAAGTAAAAAGAAAAACAACAAAATAGTTTCTAGTCTTGGAAAAATCACCTGCCTTTAGGTGTCTGTTAAAATGACATATCTTTAAAATGACTGTATTGCAAAGTATGGTAGAGCAATCAGTTTTAGACTTCTGGACTGAATTAGAGACTCAGATCCTATAACTGGTTTAAAAACCCTTCCACAACGCCCCCCACAGCTCCTTACCGAACCAGGGTCTGGTTGTGTAGGTCCCACACGGCTATGTTTCCGTCGGAGCAGCAGGAGAAGCAGACCTTGGAGTCTGGGCTGATAGCCAGAGCATAGCATGCAGGTGCTGAAGAGGTGAGTTCAGCCTTGATCCGTGGCGTTGGTGTAGCCAAATCCCAGATTGACAAAGTGCTCGCCTCGCCCCCGACTATGAGGGTCCGCCCATCCGGGAGTAACCGACAGGAACGGATGTAGTTATCTCTGTTCTGATAAACACACACACAGTAGTTTTGTGAAAAAAAGGATCACTCCATAAACTGCTTGCTGTAAGGAGTAGCAGGCAAAACATTAGAAAGACATTCTGTATTTCACCCATATATTAAGTAACACTGCATGGATGGAGGGCTCATCACACTCACAAGGCAGTCCAGCTGGGAAACAGGGGTCTTGTTTCCAGGGTGACTGATGTCCCACACCTTGACGCAGCCCTTGCCGCCGGTGTAGACATGACGCGTGGGGTTACTGATGGTGACAGCACACACCACCTCCCCGTGGCTCAGGGTATTGATCTGTCGTGCGTGGCGCGGGATGCCTGGGCCGATCAGCGCGTCAGGGGGAAAAGGCACAGGCTGCATCTGTCCATCAGCACTCACATGAAAGGAGTACGCTCTAGAGGAAAGAAAATGTGACAATAGAGGTGGAAGTGTGGGTAAGCGAAAATGCACATGTGAGAAAGAAAAAAAAGTAAATGGGGATTTATTAAACGAAGGAAGAAACATACGGTTTTCCACCAGGAATGCCTGACAGGTTGGGAGGAAGGCCAGGGACACGCATGTGGTGGTGAGGATCAAATCCTACCTATAAGATGTGAGAAGAGAGGTTAGAATACAATCAAACAATAAACACTAGTTTTCATGCTGCATGTTCAAAATAATCTTTTAAGAAGAGACATGAACTGGCTTTTGTAGCTTGCATACTGTATTATCTGAAAACTGCTTTCTGTATTAATTGCACCGTAAACTACGATAAACAAGTACAAAAAAACGATAACGTTAAGCAGTTACTGACAACTACAATATAAATAATGTAATGGAATCACTGAAAATCTGTTTGTTTTATGGAATTCACACTTTGTATTCAGCCACACGTTTCTTCTAGCTTTGTTTGTTTTGTTTTCAATCTGTAAATCACCAATCAATGCTGACTGAGCATCCAACCAAATAAAACATTTCTACCTTTTATCCCTAAAAATGATATTCTCTCACTTCTGGCACATTTTTTCATGTTTGCCATTTGGTTTTAGATTTTACGATTCAAATGTTTCTGATTACACAGAGAGTGTGAACAGATATGGTAATTTGAATGAGCACTAGAAGCAGGCACACGGTTAGAATGCTTAAACTGCTTAAAAATAAATTCCTTTATTTTACTTTGGCCTTTGCTATTATAGATTTTTGGTTGCCAGTTCTCGGCACGCCAAACATGGAGTTAATTCCATACTTGGTACTATGCATACATATGTCAATGAACTTGTGTATGTTTGTGTACCACTTGTGTGCGTCCGTAAGCTGCCACTGCAGCGGCTGCGACCGCACTCATCTGTGGAGAAATGTTATGCAGCCCGCTGTATGCTGCTGCGGCTCCAATCAGCTCTCCGTTCATACCCGGGTGGGGAACCATTCCAAACGGACTCGGGTACGAGCAGGGCACAGCCAACGGCGTGCGGAGACCAGGAGCTACAAGACAAAACACTGTCTGACACAAGTTGGGACATTTGCATCTGATGTTAGAAGGCCTATTTGATTTGATTGCAAAGTCTCATGGATGCATTCAGAGAGGTTTGAAGCTCTGTTTGCAACACTCACCAAGCGCCTCAATCCCTACAGGTTTACCAGGGGCAGACCTCAGGCTCGGGGTGGAGGTGCTGCTCGGTGTCGGGGCGTCGGAGCGGGATGTGGGGGAGCTGGACTTGGACACAGGCGTTGTGGACTTCTCATTCTACAACAAAAAAAGGCTTGAAATCAGGTAAATCCCAAACTGATCAAACAATGCACTTAAAGTGAAACAAAAATCTAATTGTGAAAAGATTTAAGAGAATGAAGACAAATTTAAATTATACATGTGCTTAAGCTGCGATTTAATTTATGATGCATAAAATAGATTTTCTATAAACGCTTTCTGAACCTGATATTATCCCGGGTTTTTTCACTCACATTTAGCCATTTATTCACATTTTTCTTATCATCCTATTTACCGTTTTGCAAACTCTGACAGGAGTTTGTCATCATTAAAATCAAGCCTTGATTCCTTTATATATTTTACGCACAATGAATGAATTTGTTCTGAATGCCTAAAAATAGAAAACTACCCTGAGAAATGATGAAGAAAAAGATCAGAGGGCTATAATTACCCCCAACGACTCACCAAATTAATCTCTTTGGATTTGGATGAAGGTGTGCTGCTGGAGGAGGCGATGGAGGACGGGCTCAGTGGAGCATCCTTCTTCGACATGCGACTCTTGTCCAATCCGTTCTCCCGAGGCGAGTGGGCAGGACTTCCTCGTGGAGACGCTGGATCCTTTGGTGGGTGATCACAGGCAAAGATTAGAAAATAAAAAGGATTTTCATAAATGTTTTTACATTAGACGCCAGGATGTGTTGTACCTCATTGGAGACATCCACTACCAAGTTGTCATCGCTCTTCTCTCCATCACTTTCCTGGGATAGACACAGAGTAGAAAAACACACACACACTTACAATTTTGAAAACATCTTTGTGTAAGATTTATACAAACTACCTAAGAACTTTTACATTGCATTTGCATGTACATTTTTTGTGCTTGTCAATTTATCATTTGAAAATTAGCACTCCTTTCTTTTTCTCTAAAAAGGTCAATTTGAGCCCAGACTCCATTTTAGTCGAAAGTGAATGTGGTAATAATCACAAAACTAGAAAATCAAGTGCTTCTGCTTTTCATTCACAAAGGAAAAAAGGTATACATATAAAAATGTACCTAAGTCATTAAAGGTAAAATAAATGATGATGACTCACATAGCGTGTAGAGGCCAGCTCCTTATCCTCAGTCTTCTGTTTTTTGCTGTCGGAGGAGTAATCGCTTGAACTCCTGTGCTTCTCTCGGGTCCGAAAGCTGGCCGAGGGGGACACAGATGAACTCTGGAAGAAACATGAAAGACTTGAGTGTCCCAAGTAATGCTGTGTTTTTATTTAAATAGATTTGAACCATCTTTATCCTTATGTCTTAAAGCAGCTGTAAAGCTTGTTCAGCATGTCCTGTCAAACATTCAGTGTAAAGATTTTAAATAAAGGCAAGTGGAAAAACCCATAAATGTTATTCCATTTAATTCCTTTGTTTTGGGTGAAAATAGATATCTTCCAAACAAACTAGTCAAATAAAACATCTGCACTACGAACAATAGGAGGTAAAGAGAGAACATTTGTTTGTTATATGGGAGAACCAACCCTTTTATATAGAAAATGAGATTGCATCTATTATTGTCAAGTAAAGTAAATTAGACACGGGGGTATTTGGCAATTACCACTAGTACTTTGGGCCTACCTTTTCAGGTTACACTTGAAAGATATCCAATAAGGAATCTTACAGAGAGACACAGCTGAAGAGATGACACATTATGTTTGAAGATGTTTTGTGGGTTGAAGCTGGTCCACTGATGTCTCTCTTTTCTTAATCAAATATGGCATATTTGAAATAGCATTAATGACAGATGAATCCTCTCTAAGAAGCAAAGATCAAAATAAGGTCAACTGAACATTTCCCCTCTTGCTCGGCCTGTCCCTGCTGATCTCTCTCTCTTTCGGAGGCTTCTTCTTCACAGAGAGAAGGAACATAAAGCAGGACCTTTAACTCGACCTTTCCACTAACTCACGCTTGTAACCTTTCCACTGCCCTTTGCCGTGCTGCAAGTGTTGATGACAAGATTCAGTGGGGGAGGAGTGAGTTTCGGTGTGTGTGTGTGTGTGTGTGTGTGTGTGTGTGTGTGTGTGTGTGTGTGTGTGTGTGTGTGTGTGTGTGTGTGTGTGTGTGTGTGTGTGTGTGTGTGTGTGTGTGTGTGCGTGCGTGTGTGTGTCTGTAAAGGGGCCACACTTGTACCTGTTTACATTTTAGTACTCCGTATGTGCAAACAATGCTGAGATGTCAGTGTGTGTTCAGGTGTCTCTCGTTGAGTGAGACAGAGCAGGTTGAGCCCCCTCCCCACCTTTACTCTATCACACGTTTTCTAGTCTCATTAGATTAATTAGTCTGTAAATTAGCTCTTTGAAAAACATCAAGGCAAATTAATTTGGTTGCAGAGACAAATGAAGGCTCTGCCGGCAGTACAAGCGTGTGTGAAGCATGTGCGCTGTGACTGGGTGAAACTATTAATTTACCATCACACCGTAATTATATTTGCCTCCCATTTCAAATTGATTCTGCAAGTCCTGATAATGATACCTGTAACCTTCACTGTGCTGCTCAATTACAGTTTTGGAAAACAACTTGGGTGTCTCTCTTGTAAAAGCCCAGGATGACCGAGCGTCTCTTAATGTCGTTAAGTAGCATGAAGTCAGGAGTAATCCTCAAGGTGGATGTTAAGGCTGCATTACATGTTAAACACTGTTTAAAGAGAAATAGTATCAGTAAACAAATAACCTGGAGCTTTAAGAGGTGTTTTTATCATCATGATAACATTCTGTACTTTGACTCTGTAGTTTTGTCTTGTTGTGCTTTATTACCTAGAGACTATCACTGATTTGAATGCCTTTGTTTTCCTTGAACTTCCTGCTCATTCACACAATTTACACCTGGAAGCTGCCTGATCTGACTCGAAAGGAGCAGCTGGGGTTTAGGGGTCTTGCTCAAGGGCCCCTTCGGAAATTCAATTTTTCTACCCTTTTGGCTTTCACTGACCCAGTTTTAAAAAACTAAATTAAGTTGCTCCAATACTCATAATTGTGTATCACAATGCAAAAATAAAAATGCTATGATATGTAACACAGTATTGGATATGATATCATGTCACTATGTATTCTCCACTGCTGTTACCAAGGTCAGTTATTCCTTTTTAACTTCAGCATACATAATGTTCAACAACAGCTCCTGAATTGGCCTTGTATCTCAAAACAAGATGACTGATACATTCACACAAATACAGCCATTTATATAATTTGTTTTTGTTAAACAGTATCGGAATTGCCAATTACTGTATTTTAAATCTTTACTTCATTTCACTTTGTTTTTGGCTTCCACCTTTCCTGTTTTCTTTTTCCATCCCTTAACATGTTGCTTCTTGCCACCAGCAGTGAGAAGGTACATTTCTGCTTTGTAAATATCTGAGAATTGTTTTGATCCCCTGGTTTCTCAGCTTTCGCTCAATATCCCTCAAAAATGATGGCTGAGCTCACACCAAAAAACCTTTTTAAATCTGGTTTAAAGTCAGTCTCCCCTCTGATCCCTTCTCCTATTCCACTCAACTTGTTTTTTATTCCGCAGCCAACACAGCATGGAAGTCCAGCCTGAACTTTGTAAACTGATTTTCTTTAAAGATAAAACAAAGCATCCTAACAATTTCAAAAGAGACACATTGCAGCCAACCAATAAGCAAAAAATCAAGACAAAAAAGTATAAAAGAAAAGTGTGACGGTCACCGCCGCAGAAGGTTTACTTTTGTGATTCAGTCTAAAGGTCAGTGTAACCGTAACCACGCCGCCTCATTAGGAATTCATCCCCCATCTTTTTTTCTAAACAAACAGTACATAATCAAGGTTGTCCACTTTGTTAAAGAGTAGTTTTACCTTGAGTGATTGTATTAAAGGTCAGAGAATTTAAAAAAAACTGTTTTAATTGCAACTACTCCAAACATCCTGTTGTCGCTTAATTGACTGAAAAGGGAACATTCAATGTCATTGACAACTGAACCAATAATTAACTTGGGATAAGTGTGTCTGACAGACTTAAGGATGTGCAGTCCTTGAACGTACCACAACTACATAATAGTCTGTATTGGCAACAATAACAGACACAAATGAACATCTGCAACTAGCAACTTTATCCGGCGGACGTGCAAAGGCAGAGGACATTAAGGCACAGATGTTCATGCAATTCACACACACTGAACTCAGTGGACTGTTGCCAAGGCAACTGTGGACCACTGACAACGGGCTTATTGGTTTCATGAAGTGACTGTTGGCTGTGTGTGTTCTCACAGGGCGCTAATGAAAGGCATTCATCATTCAGGCCTCCCTATCTTTACCTCAAATTTCTGATAACCTCACACACACACACACACACACACACACACACACACACACACACACACACACACACACACACACACACACACACACACAGCTAATCGCTCCCATCACGGTGCTTACAGCTGTGTGTGTGTGTGTGTGTGTGTGTGTGTGTGTGTGTGTGTGTGTGTGTGTGTGTGTGTGTGTGTGTGTGTGTGTGTGTGTGTGTGTGTGTGTGTGTGTGCAGGATGATGCACTTCATGGGGGGCTTGAGGTAACATATTAAACATTCCTCCTGTCTCCACCTACTCTAAAAACACCAGAGACCACCCACAACCTGCTAAATACATGCATATGTGTGTATGTGTGTGTGTGTGTGTGTGTGTGTGTGTGTATGTGTGTGTGTGTGTGTGTGTGTGTGTGTGTGTGTGTGTGTGTGTGTGTGTGTGTGTGTGTGTGTGTGTGTGTGTGTAAGCTTGGGCTGCCTGAATAAAGAAATGCTAATCTGCTCATTGAGTATTCAACAAACCAAATGTTTGCCTTGGGAAAAAGGCTCAGTTTAAGGGACTAATTACTACAAGTGCTGGATGTAATGTTGCTTGGTTGAACTCCCTCTTTCCTTCACTAGTCAGACGTGTGCTTTTTGCTTTTTTCATCCGCTTCTCTTTATTTTGCTTTGTCTGCATTTCCAAATTTGATTTAAATGAATGTGTATAAATACCACTAGTGGATGAGAGAAAAACGTGTATTACAAAATAAACAAGCATAATATCAATGTATTTAATATAGTTTATGTTATACTAACAACACAATTATAATGTACTTAATGTAAAATTACACAGAAACATTGTTTTCTACAACATCAGAATTTATTTTGAGTCATTCTGTGATTGAATGTGACTTCGTAACAAACATCACGTTGACAAAAAGGATTTAAATAAATGTGGCTAAGAGTTATTATCATGCCTTATAAGTCATAGCATATTTGGACTCGGGTTTTGTGTATTTTTTCTCTTTATAGTTGACACAGCTTTGAATGAGGGCGGCAGGAATCATTTATCGGTCTCAATTCACATTATTTGCATGTGATACAAAATACTAGTCTTCGGCTCCCAGGAAGTGTGTTACCAATTACATTTGAATAAAGAAATCTGTGCGGTAATGTTGATAGATGAAAGAGAAGTTGCTGTATTGTGGGTTGTGTCACTTGCTAAAGAAGTGTTGCTATTGTTTAATTAATAGCGGGTTGAGTGGGATCTGTATGTAAAAAAGAATGAAATAAATAACTTACCTTAACCGAGTCTCTGTCTGAGGAGGCGGAGGGCAGGAGACAGAAAAGGAATTAAGGCATTAAATGATAGAGCAACAAGCGCGATAATGCATGTTCAAAGAGACACATGAAAAGCAGAAAGATAATACCAACACATAAGCACACATTACACTCCAAGAGAAAAGAGAGGCAACAGATATGAACAGATTTCAAAAAGTATTTCTCTTTGCCAGACTTTGTTCAAAGCGTGCAAGAAGCTGATGGATTTGTAATATAAGGAGCCCAGGGGGGCAAAATTACACTACATTGGTAACAAAGTAAAACTACAAATAAAGTAACCTCTAATATACTGTAAACACACACGCCCATTCACAGGAACTCAGCTAGATACATTGGATTGTTATTGATTGTACTCCTAATGGGGGAGAGTATTACCTGGGTTAGCAGCCGTAGCTTTACTGCAGCTACAGGGCAAGGTTAAATGCTCTGCTGCTCAGTAAAAAGCCTCACAGTCATGCTGCAACAGAGTAATTAACAGCTGGCACACACAGTTTCTATCACACACACACACACACACTCACACTCGTACACAGACAAACAGTCTCTATTAACTGTAATTAAATGCTTGAGCTCAAAGTCAGATCGCAGAAGAATTGGCAGAGAGTTCGGCGTGTGCAAAGGAAAAGAGGCAACATGATGGTATATAGCTCCTTATTAGACCAATTAAAACTGTATAATGACAAATCAGTTTTTAATTGCTTTAACTGCTGTTCATTCAGAGTAATAACAATTAGGCATCAGCTAGTACAAGTGCCGGTATTATTCTTAATTCTTAACTTTGATTGGATAAGCCAGACATGAAAAATACATTTGGGGTCATAAACTGAACAAAAGATAAAGGCTTCAGTTTGTCTTTTATACACATTTAGTATCTGCTAATGAATGACATAAAAGAGTACGGGATTTTGCAATTTGTATTAAATATTGAGACAACTCAACACAGAGCAGGCCTTACCTCTCGGGTGTTCGTTGTTGCTGTCGTGGTGTTTCCTGTCGTCTTTGAGCGGCAGCTGGTGGCTCAGTGCAGAGGACAGAGCCAACAGGCTGGCAGTACCGGCCCCGGGGAGCAGGGGGGGCTGGAGGCCCGCCGGGTGAGGCGTGAGCGGGACGGGGATGGCGTGGCCGTGAGAGAGGTGCTGAGCCTGGAGCTGCTGCTGCTGAACCACACAGAGATCATGATCAGTGTTATGCTGCATTTTAAATTGAAGCACTTTGCATGGTCTGAGACAAAATAAGCTGCAAAGATCCAGGAGAGGAAAAAACTGCCATTTGGAGCACGGAGCAAGGGCATTTAGTCTCTAGTCTGGCCCCCTACTTTATGCCCACGTATAAGTGATGCTTGCATTAGCACCGCGTGAAAGTGGCCGAGTTTAAGTAAAATCATGTTAACATTTTCAGTCGTTGGTATATGCGCAGCTTCATGTGTTGCTGTAACGCAGGCATGGATGGGTGACAGAGAGAGAGTAATGGCAGGTGTAGGAAATCAGCTGTTGGAGATCATTGTAGATGGAAAATGGTTTTAGTTGTCTAGTGTTATTTAATGTACAGTTTCTCACACACACACTTTCTGAAAATCAGTTTGATGTAGGCCTATCTTACAGCATCTTCTTTAAATCTGTATGTGTGTGTGTGTGTGTGTGTGTGTGTGTGTGTGTGTGTGTGTGTGTGTGTGTGTGTGTGTGTGTGTGTGTGTGTGTGTGTGGTGTGTGTGTGTGTGTGTGTGTGTGTGTGTACCCACTCCTATGATTGCGTTGAGTTCAGACATGGTGACCTGCTTGGCCCGCTCCACCGCCTGCACCACCTGCTGCTGATGCTGGGAGAGATAGACACAGCAGAGAGAGTGAGATATAGCAGCAGCAGCAACTAAGATGATGAAAATAATATCTGTTGAAACAGACATACACAATTATCTGAAATAAATAAAGATCAAACTGTCTGCACACCTCTCATCTAAACAAGGATTTTGCCATCAATCGGTGCACAATTAAGCGACAGTGGCTTACTAAAAGCTTTGCATTAGGGATAGTAAAACAATTCCCATCCATCAGTTTTTCAGAGATTCGAGATTCAAGATTCAAAGGCATGCCAGGCTCCTCCAACAATGCGACATAATATATATAAGACATAAGAAAAGAAAATAGTGCAAGAAAAAACAGTGAAGAATAAGATAGAGCAAGATTATCTTGCAAGAGTAATTGGCAAATGCAAATTATATCAGCTATAAGCACAAGTTAAATGAAATTCTATTGTATATTTGTTGCACATCTCAGAATAGTGTAGCTATAGAGAATAAGACATATGTGTGGAGAGAGAGAGACCCTGAGAGACAGACAGCTAACAGGGCAACAAGTCATCCACAGATTACTGAGCGAGAAAGACAGATCCACACGATGAGAGAGAGCAGCAGAGCTTCAGGAGCGCAAAACATCAAAGTAGGGCAGAGACGAAAGAGCTTAGCCAGTGTGGAAATGAACCTGACCATCAAGTTCAGCTACACCTCTGCAGAGTCTAAACGTGACTCACACACATGAAAGGTGAATATTGGCCAATAGCTTCTAAAGCATTGTTACCAACTTCTCATAAACATAATAGACCATCACTTTTTTACTTTGATATTTCAACCCAATCAGATGCTTTTCATTTGATCACCTTTGCCCTTAGAATGTATTTGCCATAAAGTGACACGATAATTGATGGAAACACAGTCAGTAATCCAACCAGAAAAAGAGACAGAGTTTCCCTGACTGGCACACTGTTGCAACTAAGGAAACACTTATAAGTGAATATGAAAAGCTGCTATCAGTATGAAAACCTTTAGAAATGTACACAAGGTAAGATATTTATTTTATTTTATGAATTGCTAGTAACTGTCACACATTACCAAAATCATTAGATCAGTTCAGCTAAATAATGTCGGATTAAAGGTTTGGTTTGTTAAAAAATATAATCAATAAAAATGTCCACTACCGGACTGATTTATGATACTGATACCAAAACCTTACTTTATTAAATCACATTACTTGCTGAGATCAAACCCGACAAATTATTTATTTTTAAAGAAAAAGATAAACCTATAATAACGAGAAAAGATGTGATCTGCATTTAGCGAAATCATGATTTAAATCAAGAAACAAGACTAGACTATGACCCAGGATTCAGTTCTAACGTGAGTTGCTTGATAAATTAAAATACTCTTGGTTAAGACTCAATTTGCATCTATATGAACAAATATAGAATTATAGGGATAATTCCAAAAAATAGCAAATACTTCTGAGCAATGAATTCACAATACACTAGGTTGACTAAGTATGTCATCGTATTTGTGACAACAACAAGAAAAACTCCAAACTGTGAAAAGGAAAAATGTAAAAAAATGACCACAATAAAATACACAATAGGCTCTTCCAGACACACAGTCATTGTGATTTTCTGCCCAATCTTAATATGATTGTCATAATAAACATATGCACACGTAAACAGGGCTGTGCATCAAAACAAAAGCAGCATAAAGCTGTTTCCTCTCCCTGCCCCCCCCCCCCCCCCTCTGCGGGCCTCAGGGCTGTGTAGCAGCACCGCAGTCTAATGCCATTATTCCTAATCCACCCTAAACCCTCCTAATCCATGGCTAATCTGGAGGAGAGTTTTGGAGTCCACACTCACTCCTTCCCGCTGTTCCCACACCTCAAAACACACACACACACACACACACACACACACACACACACACACACACACACACACACACACACACACACACACACACACACACACACACACACACACACACACACACACACACACACACACACACACCAGAATATTCCATAATAAACATACTGTACTAAAAACACATCTGACTCCCACTACAAGCACACAGTGTACTTTATGTGCATGCAGGTGGACACACACACTAAACCAAATAAGCTTAAACACAAAGGATTTTTCTCGCACACACTCTAAGCCGCTGGCTCCTGCATATGTTAGTGGGAGACATTTAATAAATTCAGAGCATATCAGCCTATCCCGAGCAGGGAGGATTATCCCAGAATAATCTGTGTGTGTGTGTGTGTGTGTGTGTGTGTGTGTGTGTGTGTGTGTGTGTGTGTGTGTGTGTGTCTCACCCACCTCTGTTTTAACTCACAGTGACAGGCATGTTTTAAATCTTACCTCTTGAGAGAGGAAGGGGATGACTTGGGCGCAGATTGCGTTCAGCCGCTTGACGATCTCCGCCTGCAAGACAGAGTGGTGGGCACACACAACACAATCATTTTCAACTTCAGACAAGGAGGCGTTGTCTTCTTCACATGACTTAAACATTATAGTAATAGCTCACATTGGTTTTCTTTACATGATAGCCAGCTCATGTGAAACAATTTGATGAATTCTCAGTTGTTGAAAGCTTTTACGTGGGGTGTTAGAACCATCATGTCTGGCGGGTTTTATCCAAGGAAAATCTTTTGTCTCACAGGAACTGAGGCCTACAGAGACTAAATGAGGAAGGACATACACTCCATGCATTTGTTTTACCTCGAGGATACACACAATTGGTTGTAATGAGTAGCACCGAATGTAAACATAACTTTAGTTTGTTTACAAAAACTCCACAGGGGCTCTTTTAAATTAAGCATTTAATAAACACATGAACTGTGATTGGAAGTCTGCGTAGCAAAGGCCACGAAAAGAGAAAAAACACCAGAAACTCAAACTTCATGTGCATAAAAATGCAAGATAAAAGACATCAAAGTACCACCCACACTGTGTGTTTCAAAGATGATCTCTGGAAAGTGCAGTGCACAGGCAGCACGGTAATGAGCACTTAGCACCAATGTCACCAAAACAGAAAAAGCGTCACAGAAAGTGCTTTATTATTCAATGTTAAAAGTAAAGCAGATGTTCTGCCAAGAAGCCTGAACAAAGGGAAATTATTCAGACTGACCAAAAAAGAAGGTTGTTACATGTCATCCAACGAGGGAGTTAGTAACTCATTATGACCTTGTTTGTGGATTTGTTTTAATCAGCTAAATTAAGACCAATCTACTGAAAAAAGCCATAATGAAATATGATTATGTCTCCAAGTCCAATGCAGTAGTATCCTGTCAAGGGCTTCTTTCATGTGTATAACCTTGACAAGGTGAACTTTGCTCTGGTATCAGCAGTAACAGAAGCCCCCGGAGGCCATGAAAGCAAACCTCACATGGATACAAACCCTTCAGACAGACGCACACACCTCACTGCACCAGGATGCTACACAAAAACTCAACCATGTGCACACTGGCAGGTGCACACCTCCACAGCCTTCTCTGTATTCATCAGATGTTTTACTAAACCCAAGGGTTGGCTTTTAAAGATTATACAGCACTCTCTCTCACTCCACATCAGGTAGGTATTTCTTTTTACAGGAAATTTGCCTGATCCACTGTCCCAAAGGGAGTGCTAGTAGTGCAACTCTAATCCGAACACAAACACAAAAGGAGACACAGACTTGCACTCAACCACACACTAAATGGAACACAAGGATAAACACCATTTCTTTTTTTTGTAAGACTAAAACTATAATTTACAGTATATCCTCAAGAGGTCACGTAACCTGCAAGCACAATGGTTGGAGAACTCTCGGTCACTCCTGTCATTCTGATTTTTTTTTAAATATTATGACTTCCAGAGCCTACAGCAGTTTGTTCTAGGGGTGACCCCCAAATAGGCGGCTATTGTATCTTACGAGCTTGATTTGACTGCCAATTTCAGAGTTTAATTGACGCAGTGGCAGAAAAAGGGGGTTTGAAAAAATGCAATAATTCCACCCATTGTCCCGTGTCGCTAACCCTTTTCGTATGTTGATTGCTACAATCGGGGGAATAGAATTATAGACGACGGTTGCTACTAAAACCACGAAAAGCACAAGTTATAAGACCCTGTGTCACATTCGGTGAACACCAGCAAGAAATAGAGGAAGACTCAAATGCAGAAAATACTCCTAAGGCAAGCTAGGACCAAGGATAATTTCCTGAAGGCCAAGGACATGAACAGGCTTACATGTTGGCAACAGTATTGAAGAGCGTACAAGAAAAATCCAAGACAGGTGAGAAGGTCCGAAACAGGAAACAAAGCAAAACCTTTACACAAGAGATCTATAGCTTCCAGATAGATCCTTTGAAAATGCAAGTCAAGAGGACCTAAATTATTGAATCACTCCACCTGCACTTTTACAGTACAGTTTAAATACAGTTTATTCTTACATATTAGGATGAATACTTAAGCACATGTTAGAGATCAGCAGTCCAGGGCTGAAAGTTGTACTGATTTGTATTCAGGTATAAGATGTGTGCTCTGGCAAAGAAGCAGCAGCAGCAGCTCTGCAAAGGTTTTGCCATTTAAGAGTATGCTTAAAGAAGTGCACCGATGTTCACCATAACCAGACAGCAGACAGACGGTAAAAACAAACATGAGGGCAATAACACAGCTTCATGCTGATCCTTTTCCACTCTGCGTACATTTGCAGTCATTTCCACAGATTTGAGTGGTAATTTACTGAAGAGATTCCACTGAGTTAGTTCATTCAATGTTGATGATTCACTTACGGACAAATACTGGTCAGAAAATACTCTCAGGAATTCCGTTTGTTCTGCTGTTGTGCTTTTATAACTGAGTGATTGGCAGACAACACTTAAGAGGCAATACATGTCAAAAACATATATTGTAAGACACATGACCACAGGATGTCTGAGCACCAGCTATCAGTAGACTTAGGGAACCATTTGTCAGGCAGTTTGGTAACTCCAGGGAGTCCAACTTACCTGTGATTAACACAGCAACTCACTCTGCCACACACAACCTAAAACACTGACATTTTCATTTTATATCTAAAGTTTATCCTGTGAAGACTTGCTGTGCACACATGCCCTTTTTCAGCTTGGTTCTGCTTCACATTCATACACACCGGGGAGCTGCCCGGTACATATTAGTCTCTGGGAAACTTCACTGTTTATTAGTTGGTTGGGGTTTAGTGCCTTGCTCAGGGGTATCCAGTGTGATGTGTTGAGGACAAATAAGGCCATGCTCTGTATTTGCACCCTAACAAGTGAATGAAAAAAAACAGCTTCCTCTCTGACTGTTGAAGGACACAGTGAACGGACGGTAGACAGCTACAGAGGTGAGGATCGGTTGGGAGATGTTACCATATCTGCTTGGACACTTCGCTGCAACATCATCATACTCCCAAAGATGGCTCTGTAGCACAAGTATTTGGGGGCAATGTATACCCCTATGAAAAAGCTGACAGGAAGTAAGGAGGAAGACGGGGTGGGGTTTCATTTCATTTGGTTATTGCCTTGATGTAGTATTGACATTTTACATTGTGTATTGTTTACTACACCAAACATTACTTAATTTTGACATAAAGTAATGCAAACTTCCTGCTCTCTGTTTAAAGACATTTGTATCTGGTAATTATCTACCAAGTTATTATAACAACACATCATACAATACAATACCATGGATTTTGTAGTGATTTAAATTTGAGCTGAAACAATCAATGGAAAATGCAATGCTAGATTAATAATTATTGTAACGATATGATTTAATCACAAGCTTCAACATATAACATGTGGATATTTTCTATTTATTTTATGATTCTTTACTTTTGTTAAGGAACAAGTCACCATTTGATCAATCAAAACAGATGTTAAAAAGTTACTTTATATTACAAAAATCATCAGTTGCACAAATGAATTACTTCAAAGCACAACATACTTTTGAAAGACTGTCAGATATACACACACTGTGTAAAAATAACAACTCTAAAGCTGTAATGTAAAGATACGGATCTCCATTAACAACTACAACTACACGCTGAACCTCCAATCGATTCGTTTTGAAGAATTGACCCTGAGGTTTTGGCACAGACAAAAACACAAAAGCACTGGAGCAGAAAAGGAAATGGAGATGCTTTTCTACGAGGCAACACAACCAATTTCAGGTGACATTTTACATCAATGGCAGACAATCGTGAATGCCGGACAGAGTGCAGGAGATGTCAGCCTGTTCAGCCAACATGTCTGTTCACACTACAGAGACCAAGGAGAGAAAACAAAAGTAATCCTGGCTTGTTTAAACCTAGAGATTTTTTTCCTTCAGCAAGCATACCTCGACTTCGACCTGTACCTGTCACCGTCTCCACAGTGAATAAATAACAAGAAACGACGTGCCAGAGAGTCCTCTAAGGTTAGGACTCAAACTCTGTTTGATTCATGGAGCTTATTGCTAGATGAAAGGACTGTGTGGTCACATAAACCCTGGTAACCTCAAAGGCCAGATCATGTGCGCTGAATTTCTGCGACCCTCTGTGTGAGTTGCTGGAGAAAATGCTCCTTCGGTTAAAAAAAGAGAAAAGTCAGTGAGCAACTGTACAACATCAAGCTTCTTATTTTGTGGTTTGCCCCTTGTGATCAGATCAACGACATGCAATAAATGGCGTGATCTGCCTTTTGAGGAGAGAAAAATAGGGCTATTACAGAGCTCGCCACTGAATATGCTTTCATTGTTTACCTGAGAGCACCTACTTGCTATCTTTTAGCTTCTTGGACTACGGTACTCTCTTTGTGATGACAGCATAAGATCCCAGCAATAACAACTGATCACCAAACATGTTGCCAAAAGAAAGGAAACAACAGCTCAAATACTCTCCCTTTAACTCCTAACAACAAAGACATTAGATCAGCCAGGAGCCTTGAGTCAGATGGGTCAGATAGAAGATCAAATGTCCATCTCACCATCAGCACCACTTTTCACCACCAGCTAATACACCCTAATGGACCCCACCATATAAAGGCTGAACTCCTTTGTGACTGTCTGTGAGTGGGTGTGTGAAAGACACCACTTCATAGGTAGGTAAGAACGGAGAGGAAAAAACAAAGGATGCTATGCAGACAGCTATACAGACAATGCAAGCTTCAGAATGAGTGCTTAATGAAGATTATGCAGTATTTATTAACCTTATTAAGGTTTAAAATAAACCCTCTCTTCCCCCTACCATGAGGGTCAGTCGTGGAGTCTTAATTGACTGTAATAAAACATTGAGTCTTGATATAATCAGTAGCGTGGCGTGGGAAAAAAATTAGGGGAAGCCAATAATACGTCCTTTCTTTTGGGTCGGGGGTGTGGTGGTCAATGTAATAACGTAACCAGATGAGTGATTACAGCACCCGGTATCATTTTACACACATTTGTATCATACAGATGCAGGACTTACACACGCCTGTTATCTAACCGACAGGTCCGCACGTACTCTCCAGCCCAAACTCTAATAAGCATTAATTCACAAACTAAATCAGGAGACCTTTAACGTTTTACGTCCGATTTGCTCCTTTGTTCCTCGCTGTACACAGCTCCAGTTTGGGCATCGGCCTGTCATCAGATTGTATTTGTTGTTGCTGCTGTAGCGGAAGTTTAATACAATTATTTTTGATTAAATACTCCAAATCTCCACCCTCCATAATTGCACTTGCTTCAGTTGCTTGCTACTTTCTAACGGCGGTCAGAGTGGTGCAGTGACGCTATCTATATTCTATCGATTAGAGTTATGATTTAAAAATTATAAAAGTAGGGTAGACATGTGGATATTATCCGACTGAACACAACGTGCATTTATCTAACAGGTTCGTTTTCCACTGACCTTATTTCCAGCTATTTTCCAAAATCCTATGGAGAACTCCCATTGCTTTTGTTGTCGAGGGAACCCGAGCGCAGCTTACTTCCGGGTTTTAGGATGTGTCACTGCAACACTAAGTTGATGCGATTTGATTGGATTATGAGGCAAGGGAAGCCAGCCGCCTCTGGCTTCCCTTGGCATGGCCCTGACCAATCACAGGTTGGCAGGGGCATGACGTGAGCCTCATCTGATTGGTCAATCCCTCCATTTTTTTTTCACCAAGGGAAGCCAATTTCGGCTGGCCTCCTCTCGCAACAGAGAGTGCAATCTACCATAACATGTAGAGGGGCGCTGTTTCACTATTTGTAAAATACTCAATGAGAATAGGGGAGAGACGGGCCGGCAGCAACACACAGCACCGAAAACTTACCGAAACCAAACGAAGTGTTTTTATTTATTTATTAAAATTATAACTACAATCCGAAAAAACAGGGGAAGCCTGGCTTCCCTTGGCCTCCAGGAGAAAACGCCACTGGATATAATTAGCCAACATAAATAAAAACACAAATAAATATGCCAGTGGTTTTTTCTGGATTTTAATTACTTTACTTTATATCGATGTGTTACCAAATGTCCAAATTGCATGTCTATAGGTCGAAGAATCATTATTTTCCAGGCGGACACAGGGCAGAGAAGCTGGAGCTAACCGATAAAGTTAGCTCAACTTGTTCATCTGATATCTTAAAATCCAGACGTCCAATGAATACAAATTATTCATCTGATTAAAATATAGTTAAAAAGACCAAGATTTATTTTTTAAAGTACATTATATGACAGCTTCTGGCAGCTGGTTTTGTGCACCTTCATTATAATAACAAATGTATCTAGATTTGAAATCTATAGGAAACATTTAGGATAATGTAAGTACACAAATCAATAAATATAATAATATAGTAGTTCTTTAGACATTTTGATGTGTAAATGTTAAACAGTATATCTTTAACAGCTACATGAATATAACCAGTCAAAAAAGGCACTACACCAAGCCAACAATTGTCCGTCACATCCATAGAACTGCAACTTGTCTTTGGTTTATTTTGGGACAAGATACAAAGATGTAGGTAATCAGTGTGCTTTATATGTGCGTAGGCCCAACCTAAAAAATGCATCGCCTTATTCTCCTCCAATCCGCCACAATTTCACCCTCATGTACATTCAGAAGTTACATTTAAAGTAAAATCTTAATCTGTTTGTTAATACTTTACATTTGTAAAATATCAGTAAATAAGTTATTTAAAATAATATTTTTTGTAATTCAGAGGTTTCAGTGAGATTTTAATCTTGTTTCTAACTGCATTTTCTAGAAGTAAGACATTACGTGACCAAAATCCTCAAAATGAAACAAATGTCTCCCTATCCGCCGCTGTAAAATGAGTTGTCAGACCTTGTTGAAAACACTGTCGGTCTTCAGTATCAAAACGTCTTATTACTTCCTTCCTTCACCATTTTCTCATTCCTCCTCCTTCCCTTTTTCTCCCAATCCTTCGCTTGCTTTATTTCTCTTTCAGCCTTGCTAATTTGCAATTGATTAGCTGTCCTCTGGCAGCTCAGTCCCATGCTCTACATCCCTCGTACGATCTTCCCGCCTTATCCCTCCTCTCCTCCTTCTCCCCACTCTCTGCCTCCCTGTCCGTCCTCTCCTCCTATGAGTCAATTTCTCTTTAACGAGTGCACCAAAGCCCCTCTGTGTAAATAAAACAGAGCAGAGCCAAAAAATCAATGGGCCTATTACCCTCAGAAAATGCTAAACAAGCAATATTAGCAATTCACTTGGTAGTGGAGGTCGGCTGCCTTAATGGGACTGAGGCTCGACAACACCCCCCCCCCCTTCCCCGTCAATATCTCCACCACAACAACCCCCCTCCCCCCACCCCACCCCCTCATTCGGAATCCACTCAAAGAGCCACACACGTCGTACCATCATATCCGAGTCAGTGGACTGGATACACAATTAACGCCCATGCACACTCGTGTACCGGTTCACACAAACACAGCCTGCACAGCAAAATCATTTTCTACGAAGAGTCCCACCCACACACACACACACACACACACACACACACACACACACACACACACACACACACACACACACACACACACACACACACACACACACACACACACACACACACACACACACACACACACACACACACATACACACAACAGACACACACACTACAGACACACACAGACAGACAGACTGCTGGCAGAAATCAGGGATTCACCTTCCAAAACTGGTCCCTGACAGAAATCATTGGCCACCACACAAAGCCACAGGCCACATTTTATCTCTATTCATTTATTCTCCCTTCCCCCAAATAAACATACAGGTGTATGGACGCCAACCACACACACACACACACACACACACACACACACACACACACACACACACACACACACACACACACACACACACACACACACACACACACACACACACACACACACACACACACACACACACACACACACACACACCCTGACAGCAGCAGACGGCGGGATTTATAGTAGACACCCCCTGTTTCATCAGACAAGTCTGATTAGTGTGCCAGTAAAGTGCTGCATGTGTGTGTAAATCCACACACAGAAACACAAAGACCAACACACATACAATTAAAGGTCCACAATATATGAGCACATGCATACACACACAAAGCACACAAATACTGAACACACAACTAAATAAACAACTACATTGTGCATACAGACAAATATACAAAAACACACATACTAAGCAAACATGTACAGTATACATACAGGCTGTTAAACAGATACCTCGCCACACACCCCCACCCAAGAACACACACACAGCCACACACAGCAACAGAATATCATACACACAGCTAAACAAAGAGCAAGCATTTATCACTTCCTCTCATGCTCACAAACACACACACACACGACACACACCATTTCTCTGGAAATGAACGTGTAGCTGGTTAGCTGTGGCCCATTTAGCCTGGCAGCCCATGTGTGGTTAACACAGACATTTATGCTAATGACCTTCCACGTTTAAAAAAGGCAGCAGTAATATAAAGGCTCGTTAAAGGCCAAATCCTCGCTCACTCGAGACATTTTTCAGCCCATTTTCTCATTAAATTAAACTGACGACATCATTATCCACACGTTGAATTGCTATTCAACCTCACAAAGCGCACTAGCCCCAGTTTGGGCTTCTTGTTGTCTCCATTACATTCAAGCTAAGCATCCAGACTTCCTCAAAATAATTACCCGGGGATCTTTGAAAAAAACCCAGAAGGTTGTTTGATAAAACTGACCACTGCGCTGGAGGTATTTCCAGAATCTTCAAAGGCTCGTCTAACCATCTCTAATAAATAGTAAACATATGGCATCAGTAAGATACCCCGCTTTTAACCAAGTCTCAAGCTCTGAATGTGCTTCTTGATTTAGGCAGCCAAGATATTATATTTTCTAAAACACAAGCATTATATAAATGCACTATTGCCCACAGTACTGAATATATGTAAGTCGCTTTGATGTAATGTAATGTTAACATGTAATATCCCGATTTGTTATGGTCTTTACTTCTTAACTGTTAAAGTAAGTGTTAAACAACATTTGGGGATTTTCAAAAATCAACAGATGGATATTTTCACATATTTATAATGTGACACACCTCAGACCTAACACTTGAATATTACTATCACCAACATTTTTTTGAATAATAATATTAGAACTATTATATATTTATGTCTGGATGGGGCCTCAAAAAAGATGGCGGGACAACATGAGATATTTAAATATTGAAAACTGCCATCATGTGACTGCAATATGGGCTTTTCTTTCCTGTGATGACTTTGTACCAGTGGCGGTGATAAATACATGATATCCTTCCCATTTAAAAAAAAGCTACATTCCTCTGACGCCTACTAAAGTTTCACTTGCTTTAACATAAGAGTAACACACTTTTCCTACCTGTTTGTGCATCTCGATGTTGAGTCCATACGACATTTCATAGTACTAAAGAAAAACAAAGATCAATGTTAGGTCAAACAAACGTGTAAAACACACACATACACATAAAAACACACACATGGTCAACGGGACTCACCATGACATAGTGTCTCTGCATCTCAGTTTTATCACTGGCCAGTTTTTCACACTCCATTTTCAGACTGTAGGCAGAACGAAACATTGTGTTAGTGTTTAAAAGTGAAAGATTACAGAAAAACACCTACAATTATGAATGGATTCAAATGAGGATAGTCTACAAGATACATTACGTTCCAGGTTTTCTCACATGAAACAAAAAAATGCAATCCAGACAAATGATCTGCATATAACTGAGCCTGGAAGTGACTACAACATTTTAAAGTGTATTTAAAAATATGAGTGCAACAAAGAAAGACAAATAAGTTGCTTGGATGCCACCAGTTTCCCCTGCAGACACAGACACTTACTCAGCAGGTGCAGTGCAGTAATTAATGGATCAATAAACCACCACACAAACTTCATCATATATTCTTTACAGTGTGAGGGGATGCTCAAACTGCACCATCAACAAAAAGCAGACATATGAGGATCCGTTTTACAAGTGTGGTTACACAAAAGCCTAACTCTTCCAAACGTTGTCTTTTACTGGAAAGCCTCAACAAATTACAACAGCAAGCTTTTAACCGTGTAATCTATGAGACAATGGTCAGGTATACACTGTTGCAGGAAAAGTTAGGATGCTGACGAGCCAAATACAGACAAATTGAGGCATTTCTGCACGTGACAAAATATAAAATTATAGATTCAAATTAAACGACTTTAGATATACAGTGTTTTAACATGAACATTAATTTGAGCTTGATGATGAAGCATTTCTGACAGTTGTTTTTATCAACGAGAAGGTTGACAAAGTTACTCAGCTAACAATCTAAATAGCGACACGTTTCTTTTTACACAATATACATTTCAAAAAGCTTTTCTAGATATTTCAAACTATATTACATGTGACAGCTCAAAGAACGTTTCTTTACTTTCTTCTAAATAAATCCTGACTTCCATAAAAGGAGAGTACTCAAAAGAAACATTACGATTGCTATTCAGCTTGTACATATGACCAACTCTTTATTTGTTTTATTACCAAAGTGTCTCTCTGATATTTGGATTTCATGCATTTGCAGTTTGATCACAGTTTAACGCATGGAGCCAGCACTATTCTTGTTTCAGCTCATTCAGCTCAAGCATTGGTCAGCGCTGGTTCATCTCACCAGGTGATTGAGCAATAATTACAAAGAGGCCAGAAGTGGGCGATTATTATGCATTGGTATCAAGCGTATGGCTCTGCCTCCAAGCAATGTATTTCACACTTCATCATGTTGGGTAAAAAGGTATTTCACACCACTTGCGTTCGCAGAGCAAGACGTGCATGAGGTTGATGGGCTGTACCATGGTTACTCTCCAGTAATAGATGGAGCAAATGTTAAATGTGCCCCCATGTTGGATTGAGGGTTGGAAGACAATCCTTTCATGGGATCCCCAAATGGTTATTTACTTCAAACTAGAATGGTTTATTCCTCAATCAAATTCAGTTTTCTGTCTTGTAATTCATGTCGTTGCGTCATGCATTTCCCAAAACCTTTTGGTCACACTGTGATTCATACATGCCTAGTACAAAGGAGGTTGACATCACAGAAGTGACCATGCTCATTACAACATTTCCTCCACAATAGTTGCATGGACCCATAACAACATATTGAGCTCAATACAAAGTTGGAATGCTTCATGTGTATTTTTCCTGACTTTTGGAGGATGAGCATATTTTTCAATGACAAGTTCCATCCAAACTCTCACCTGTGATACTGGGCTTGCAGGAAGTGGAACTCCTCCTTGATCCGGTCGCAGGACTCAGTGACGGTGAACTTTAACGGCTGTCCCGGCTGGTGGGGGACCTCGACCCAAACCAAATGGCATACGGAGGGGAGGAGAGAGAGAGGAAGAACTGAGCCAACTTAGTTCAGTGTGACGACACAGACACACACATTTACACACACACACGCACACACACACACACACACACACACACACACACACACACACACACACACACACACACACACACACACACACACACACACACACACACACAACTGGATAACAAAAGGCTCCACTGTGATACGGATGGCCTTTTGGTTTCACTCAGTCTCTTTACACGTAAACCCACGCACACTCACAGACACACACAGCTGCAGCAGTTTGACAATGAGCGCAATTGTCCGGGCAAGCGCGCAGTGGCACGGAAACTTGATCTAAACTGATTACGCATCAGGCGCACGGCTGTTAATCTGCGCATAATGCCTTGGCTGATGCTGCTCCTTTACTTACCGGATGCCGTGCCGGGGGGTACATCTTGCTCAGATCTCGAATCATTAAAAATGTTTTGCAAAGTTCGTCTGCATAAACAAAAAAACAAATTGTGGGAGCAGGGATCTTTCACTGTGCGTAAAAGGTCAGTCACTGGCCGGTTAGCGGGTTAGGTGCAGGTTCCGTAAAGAAAGGAAACATCCTGAGACATTTGGCTGGCTGCCATGCTTTAAGACAGTATTTTAAAAGTCCATTCAATGTGAAAATCGAAGCAGCAGTTGTCTCGGTGTTCTCCAAGAATCTCCAGCGCGTTACTGCACGCGCGCAAAGCTTAATTATGTCTCTCTAAACTCACAACGATTTTCTACTAAGCGTCGACTTTTGACATATCGCGACCTTGCTTGTTCGCGAAAGAGCTTCTCCACGGCGTCCCGTGGTCACGCATTTATCGGTTAATTTCCTTCAGCCTCCGTTGATGTTGACATCCTCACACAGCACCGGCGCAGTGACCACCTCACAGACTGTACAGCCTGCCACCGCGAAGCCAAATTTAGAAGCAACCAGTCGTACGAGCGCAATTACATATTCACAACAATTATATGAGCCCGTAGCGTGACGTCGGGACGTGTAGTTTAATTCATATCAGTCGATAATAAGCACTACAGATGTGCGTCTGCTGTAAAGAACTACAACTTCCCAGCCATTCCGCGAAGCTCCCTGAGCCAATGGTGTGTGGTCTGCAGGAGGAGCGACCACTAAAGACAGCCAATAGAAACATATGAGTGTACAAACTGGACTCCATCCTCCTGCCAATCATCGATATGTTGTCCAATCAAATCCAACAGGAGGCAATTTATGCAGACTCCCCACGTGGGGGCTCAGTCTGGTACTAAAATATGTCACAAGGATTAATCTGGAAACTATCTGTTGATTTATGATTTTTTTTTATAGAGACTTCCAGGCAGGAGCAAGCATATGGCCCCGAGGTGTCTCATATTTGTCCTGTTTTTAATTGAATCACCTATTAAAACAGTCTGTTATTATGTCCACAGATTGCACTCACAACCCTGCAATTAAATTCTCATTGAGCTCCCCTCTTAGGTACTTCTGCCTGCTTGGATAGGATGTATACTGTATGATGCAGTAGGGGTAGACCAAATATTGTAAATACCTAATGAATTTACATTTTAATTATTATTAATCTTAAAAAGTGCAGTAAGGACAGCTCAACCCCCCTTTGTCTGAGGATATGTGTTGGAACATATTTTAAGAGGTCTTTTTAGACAAATGCACTAAAGTGTTACAAATTAAAGTCCTGCATAAAGCATTATCTTATGTTTCTATTGATATATCATGTTAATAGATGTTATATATAATGTAAACCAATTTAGCACCTTATTCTATTGTTGTTATTTTTGATGTATACAGTTACCTACATTTCTTCATTTCTTATTATTATAATATCTTACTCTTAATCTTGTGTTTCATGGTCTCTTATTGCTGTTGCTGCTATGACACCTGAATTTGCCTATGGGGATCAATAAAGGTTAACCTTATATTATCATAAAATACTTACTGTATTTTATGTTGCATTCATAGTCATAATTTGCTAAGAGACCAAGGCTTAACAAAATGAAATACATGTTGGTGAAGTAAGTAAAATCATTGCCTATGAATTTGCAGAAAATGGAAACATGAAAGTCTTGTAAAATGACTTAAAGGAGGATTACAATCATGACATTTGTGTTTAACCTGTCTACAGTAAATACAATAAAAACATATTGGTGAGTACATTTAAATAGTTATTACAATTAACATTAACTTCTCTCCTTCTCTCCCTCAGAGACACAAATCCGTCATCAGTGAGTGAATACAGCATGACAGCAGACATTCTCAGCAGTGAGTAGATGTTTAGTGTGGTAGAGGAAACACGCTGTTGCTGGGTCAGCAGCTCGCTTAACCACTGCGTTCATCATTTAGCTGCACTAACTGACTGTGTCGAAAGTCAAAATCTTCTAGCACATAACGCTTCATATTTCTTCTCTCTTTCTCTGAATTTATTATCACCTCTCATGACTGTGGATCAGATCTCTTATCATTTGGTTTCCTAATTGTGTCTCAAAGCTTCCGCTTTAACAGGATAAAGGATGACTTCTATCATTGTTTCATCTTTTTTTTTTTCATGCTCAATCACACGAGCGTACAAATGGTTATCCACAATATGACACCACATCAATCCTCGGTATGTCTGCCTCTGTCTCTCTGTCTTTCCTGTTGTCTCTGCCTCTCCCTCATACATACACAGGATTGTGCACACATACACACAGCCTCAGCCATTCAAATACACATCTCTTTTTACCACACATACAAACTAATATCTCAGGTAAGCACAGGGCCTAAAGTGACCTGCTGTCGTCTGCGTGAATCCACTAAGGCTCGAGAAAGGTAATATCATGCCCTCTCTCTTTCCCCTCCAAGGGTTGAGGCGTGATGTGGTGAGGTGAGGAGGGGGGTAGGTGAAGAGGAATAAACAGATTTATTTGCCTGCGCCCCTCTCTGATTATTTTGCCCCTGCCTTTTGTTCCAGACCTTATGAAACCCAAATGTCAAGTGAGGCGAGGGCCTCATATCGAGCCCTGTCAATCACACCCCTCTGTGCACCTGAAGCCCTGACGCCGGATTATTGGCTTCAACACAAGGGCTGCCATAGCCGCCAGCCACGCTGCCTCAGGCGATTCCACAGCAAGTTTTTTTTTTTCTAAAGAGGAACTTCATTTGGCAGCTGATGCGCAGGAGATTGCACAGGAGCGGATTTTGAGGGTAGATGGTATTGCAGGCTGGGTGCGTGTATGTGTGTGTATTATGTGGGAGACCGAGTGGCTTATCGAGGGAGGGGGGATTAAGGGAGAAGAAGTGTGGGCTTGAGTTGGGGAGTGGGTGACGAGAAACCTCGGCCTCAATACATTGCTCAGTGCACTGATCCCGACTAGCTATCATCACCTGTACATATGTCTCTTAATCTCTCCCTATCCAGTCCTCCCTCCTTTTACTCTCTCTCTCTCTCTCTCTCTCTCTCTCTCTCTCTCTCTCTCTCTCTCTCTCTCTCTCTCTCTCTCTCTCTCTCTTTCTCACACACAAACAAATATATTAAAAAAAGATAAAACAGGCCACTGACATCTTTCTCTGACAATGACCCTGCAATCTGGTGTGTGTGTGTGTGTGTGTGTGTGTGTGTGTGTGTGTGTGTGTGTGTGTGTGTGTGTGTGTGTGTGTGTGTGTGTGTGTATGTGTGTGTGTGTGTGTGTGTGTGTTGGGGGGTTAAATGTCTAACTAATCATACTTCAGAAAGCACTAACCACTGGTCCATGTTCTTAAATCTCCTGTCCTTACAGCGAGCTGCGTCTAAATCCCACATGCTCGCCTCTTTAACACATCATTAATCCCCGGTGGCCCCCCCTTTGAACAGGGAGCTCGTGTGACGGGATAACCAGGCCTCCTCAGACACAGAGACGGAGAGGCGGAGGCAGAGTTGGATTTACTCCACCAGCAGGTTAATCCTGCCCCCACACTGAGTGAACGGAGGGAGGCGTTGTGTGTGTGTGTGTGTGTGTGTGTGTGGTGTGTGTGTGTGTGTGTGTGTGTGTGTGTGTGTGTGTGTGTGTGTGTGTGTGTGTGTGTGTGTGTGTGTGTGTGTGTGTGTGTGTGCGTGCATGTTATTGGCGACAGTTAAGAATCGGCTCCATCGCAGTAACGACTCTGGGGGAACATCAGCATCTGGTGCTCAAAGTCATCCAGACCCCCAAAAGGAGCTTGCTGCCATTTCTTTATTAGATTACAAATGGATAGAAGCAAGTGTTTGTGCTGATAAAAACCGAAGTAGCACACAGCAACCAGAACACAAACGGCCGAGACACTGAAGACAGAAAGAGGGAGATAGTCCTAGAAGAAGCTCAATTAATTAACAGGCAAGCAGTGATGCGAGAGTGAATGAAAAAAAGGAATCCCAAGGGCCTAAGTAATGCAGCGAGCTAATCATGACACCAGTTTGTGGCAGACATTGTACTCGTAAGTCGTGATTTAATTATGAACGGATATAAGGGCATTCATTTTACTAAGGTACAGTATTTTTTAACAATTAGAACTTCTTCTATGAAGACCAATTGTATACTCAATGTGTTTATGTATGAGCCTCCATTTATCCCACAGGAGGAGTTTGAGAATCCCAATACATTGAAAAACACATAGCTGCTTACTATTACATAATATTGTATCATGAACAATATATTACTAGTGTATGTACTTTTGTAATTGCTAGAAAGGCAAACAAATCAGGAGGCAATCTCTTGTGCTGAAAAATTAAGCAAATGCAGAAGTGCCCCTCGAGGCTGGCTCCAAAAGCGAGTCACTTTACAGCAAAATAAACATGCATGGGGAAAAACGAAAGGCTTCTATCCTCAATTCCCTGTCCTTTACAACTGTACGGGGATGAATGAGGGTTATACATAACTAAGGGTGTGGCCACTTTGTGTGACAGGTGGGTGCCGTCACAGGTTGCTAGATACTAGCTGTCTTCTCTGCTTGGTAACTCGGGCCAACCTAAGCTATAGGCGCTTTCACTCCAAGTACTTTTCCCAGGAATAGTTCCCAGAACTTTTCCCCGGAACTTTTATTTCCGGTCGCGTTCACACCGGAATAAGTCCCAGAGGGAGCCGCTGACGTCACTTCTTCTTCTTCTGCTTTGGGTTTACTGGCAGGCCGCAAACAATTTCACGGCGTATACTGCCACCCAAAGTCCCCGGCCGGAAGTCCCCGGAGTTGGAGTAGAGTTGGGGTAGAAGCCTTCCGAGTAAATCGCCAGAAGCGCTGACACACCTCCTCATCACTCCACCGCTCCCATGTTTTCTTTTGTGTTGCCATAAGTTAGTCTCTCTCCGTTGGTGCGCTGGGCTAATGCTATTCCTGGGAAATGTACTCCGGTGTGAAAGCGCCTTATGATGACGAGCCACTTCTTAGCCCATTTTTGGACATGGCAGTATAGTTCAGTATAATGTATCACATTCACAAGGCCACAACAAGGCTGCTAACTTTTCAATATAAAAAGTCCTTGCCTTTGTCTGCTGTGCATAAGATTCTCGGATATGCAGTCAGACATTAAACATTCTGTCTCCTCTTCAGTCTAAAAGACTAATCAGACACTCTGCAGGGATCTGGCTGCTAACCAGGACTAATTCTGCCTCCTGCTGGCTGGTGACACACACTGGGACAGCCATGATTGGCTGTTTAGCACCAGGGGGTACACCTCTGATTGTCTGCTTAGCATATTTTCTCCCCTCATTCTGATGGCACATGCTAGCTCTGATCCGCATTGCATGGCACAAAGCAATCGAAAAGGGGAAGGTATGCAGTAGATGTCCATGTTTGTATGTGTTTGTGTATTTGTGTTTTACCTATCATGCCACACGATTGTTTGTGAATACAAAAAAAAAATTCACCAAGCTACACTTTCATCCTCCCATTACATGTCACTTGTTAGACGCTTTTATCCAAAGTGACTTACATACTCAGTACTGTGTGGACAATCCCCACAGGAGCAATTTGGGATGAAGTGTATTGCCCAGTGACACAACGACATGCTGACTGCAGTGGGGTTTGAACCTGTGACCCCCTGATCCGAACACTTACGGACAACCCACTATGCCACGCTCCCCTTTCCCCC